GGCAGGGCAAAATGTTTACTCCACAAGCCTCTGTTTACCTAGGAACCCGGTTGTTAGTTGATTGGCGGATCGCTTTTCCAGAGGTAATAATTCCTTCCAAAAAAAAATCCAATAATAATAATTTGGTCATTTTCAATCCACGACTGTTTATGGGACACTGCTGTGCGCAATTACCTGCCACGTTTCATCCACAAAATATACAGTCAATTCACTTCACAGTATATTCTGTGAAGCGCTTTGAGACATCTCAAAGACACGATAAGGTGCTATATCAAATGCAAGGATTATTATTACTATTATTTCGGGCTCCTCTTATCAGGATTGAGCATTCCCTTATTTATTGTCTGTCCAATGTATTCCTCCCTCTCTTAAATTGCCTGTGATCAATCCCTGATCGCTTTGAAGTACCTTAAGACGTCTCAGTGACTTAATAAGGCACTAAATCAAATGAAAGCATTATTTTATTCTTATGATAAAAGACTGTGTCTGTGGAGAGAGAGAGAGAGAGAAAGAGATAGGGGCTGTTTTCTGCATTCATTTAGATATTAATCCTTGCATTTGGTATCATGCCTTTCACATCGGGAGGAAGTCCTAAAGTGCTTCACACGATTTACTGTGAAGTGGAGTGACTGTATTTTGTGAGCCAACAAGCACAGTATTGTCCCACAAACAGTTGTGAAGTGCGTGCCCAATTTTATTTGAGGGCCAGGATTGTTGGCCAGGACAGCAGGAGAAACTCCCTTCTGCCTTCGAATAGTGCAATGGGATCTTTAATGTTCATCTGAACAGGACCTTGCTTTAATGTCTCATTCGAAGGACAGTACCTCCAATAATGCAACACACCCCCAGCACTGCATTGGGGTGTCAGCTCAGACAGTGTGATTCCAAGTCCTGACGTGGGGTTGGAGAAAGCTGAATCCCTCCGTCATAAGTACCTTAGATTAAACATGGAATTGATGAATAATGACATGGTATACATCCACAAATACAAATAAAGCCTTAGCACGTCTTCGAGACGTCTCAAAGCGCTTCACGGAATATACTGTAAAGTGAATTGACTCTATTAACTTGTGAGCGAAACGTGGCAGCCAATTGCGCACAGCAGTGTCCCACAAACAGTCGTGGGGACTGAGGGACCAATTGCATTGAATGAATGAGCTACAACCATGAAATTCAAGTAAGGCCTGAATGACCCAAAATGAATTGGTCACTCACCTCGTACAGTGCGGCCCCACTATTTGGATATAATGCGGCTGAAATATGAACCCCAAGAATTTTCCCGCAGTGTGCCCTGAACCCGAGGTTTCCGATGGATTTTAATAATAATAATAATAATAATCCTTGCATTTGATATAGCGCTTTTCACGTCGGGAAGACGTCCCAAAGCGCTTCACAGAACACACTGTAAAGTGAATTGACTTTGTGGGCGAACGCGGCAGCCAATTGCGCTCAGCAATGTCCCACAAACAGTCGTAGATTGAAAATGACCAATTTTTATTATTGTTTTTGGTTTTGGAGGGATTATTATTAGGCTTTGTGTGGAGTAAGGAAACTTGCCCAAGGTTTCGCCCTGACCTGCCTGGAATTGAACTCGGGTCTCTCACTTGCAAAGCGAGTGCTCTAACCACTGAGCTACCGGACTCCACATTTTGTGTGCAGTTGCCGACAAGGTAGAGAGAGAGGGGAAGGACGTGCTACCCAAACACATGTTTTCAGAGTGAGGTTTGTTCCACTGATCTTGTGCTTGGACTTCCTCATTTGAACTTCGGATTCCAGCATTCATTCATATTTTAGCGAACTCGCATCTGGAAATCATTAACCACAGGAGCCAAGGGAGGTGCTTCAAGCTGTGCTGCAATATTATGAATTGTCAAAAGACCTATGCCCTAGGAAGAGATTTTGTCCATTATTCCTCGGAATGTCAAGCTGTGTCTCTCTTCCCTCTCCCCTTTACCCCCGCGGCTGCTGTGTTATTTACTCCTCCCTTTCTGTCTCCCCCACTCCCCCCCACGCATACAGATGCTAAATTCCTGAGCTGAGTGTGGAGTGCAGATGTTTCTCAATGTTAAAGAAGAGAAGAGGCTCCTTCATGTTCTGCTCCTGTTCGCAGGGATTATTATGTTGTACCTAAGAATTTGTCAGGCGAAAGAAGACCAAGATCCATCCTTCCACCATTCTGGCAGTCGCTTGACATTTTGTGTCCCAAACTATATACTGTATTCCGAGATATTATTTTCCAACAGAAATCTATCTAATTTGCTCTTGAAACAAATGACACTTTCTGCTTCCGTTGTCTCCCTCTCCTCCCTACCCTGAGTGGCTTAGCCCAGGGAACTGAGCGCGAGCGTATTGGCAAAGGGCAAGAATTTAAAAAAAACTTAAGGAACTAATTTGCGCCTTCGGCCACCTCACACCTAACAGTGGCATAAATATGGCCTTTTATTATCCGATCCATATGACCCAGGCTTCACTGGGCCTCAATTTGGACCAAAATTGCATCAACACGTTTACAGTAGCACCGTTAAATGTTTACCAGCTGGCAGTCGGGCAGATTCCCTGCGGGTCCAGCATTGTTCATGATGAAAGGGAAATAATTGAGTGAAATGGGGGCAGGGTAGCATTGTAGTTTCAAGACTTTCGATACTTAGCTGTTTTTTTGAGGGAAGAGCGAGTATACGGTAAAGGCTGCAGTCCATCAGCACACATCCAGCCCTCTCGCAGATGAATTATAGTGTCCTGTAGCATATTGGTTAGAGCACTCACCTCGCAAGCGAGAGAACCCGGGTTCGATTCCCGGGCAGGGCGAAACCGAAGGCAACTTTCCTTACTCCACGCACCTTTGTATTACCTAGCATTAAATAGGAACCCGGTTGTTAGTCGATTGGCAGATTTAGTTTCCAGGGGCAATAACCTCTTCAAAAAATAATAATAATAATTCAGTCACTCAATCCACGACTGTTTGTGGGACACTGCTGTGCGCAATTGGTTGCGCATTTCGCCCACAAAATATACCGCCAATTCTCTCAGAAAGACTTGATAAGGCACTGTATCAAATGCAAGGATTATTATTATTTATCTCTCTTTCCAAGATCGCCCCAGTCAAGGGGCTAATTTCCATTCGGCCAGGTGTGAAAAAGTAGCATCTTTATTCACTTGCTTACTGTGACTCTTTCCCAAGGTAATTAGCCAATGAAAAAAAGATGTAAAAGGCATTGCAAATAAACAGTACAGTTCTGTTTCATTTAGATGGCCCGTATTTTATACCTCTATATAATGAAAGGCTTTTGAAGGAAGAAATGAACTCTTCGACTACCAATGGGTCTGCTATTCTGTATAATGAACATCCTCCCCCTCCCTTCCCATTGATAGTAGAGTAACAAGAACACAGGAAATCCCCATCTCTCAGTTGGCATTCAAAAAGAATGTGAGGCTAATGTTTAATGATCCAGGCGTGACCCTTCATCTGCACTTGAACAGGGTTGTGAAATCCCCTTTTAAAGCCCAGAGAAGTAAACTGTTGGGGTGGGAGTTTTACAAAGAGATTAGAAAGTTATTATGTCAGGACACGAGCAGCCCATACACAGATAATTAAATGTTATTAATTGGGGGAGGCTGGAGAGAGAAGAAGACAATAACAAAACAACTTGTATTTATATAGCGTCGCTCATCCTTATATAAATGCATATAAGTCCGAGGTTGCTTGACAGGGGCAGAGCATGGTCGAAGGGGAAGGCACGACCTGAAGTTGGGGAAGGAGAGGGCAAGGCAGGGAAATAAAACAAACGAGACAATGGTGGTGTGACAGGCAGAGAGAAAGACAGAGGGAGAGAGACGGACAGAAAACAAACCTAGGATGGAGAGGGAAATGGAAGATATAGCCAACGTTTGTTAATGTTCAGGTACAAAGAGATGAGTAAATAATACTAATAATTTGGTCACTTAATCCACGACTGTTTGTGGGACAGTGCTGTGCGCAATTGGCTGCCGCGTTTTGCCCACAAAACACACAGTCAATTCGCTTTACAGTATATTCTGTGAAGCGCTTTGAGACATCTTGAAGACGTGATGAGGGGCTATATTAAATTGCAAGGATTACTGTTATTATCCTATCGCTGATGGTTGTTTTGAGCTTCGATGAATCAGATCAGCGTGGTTGGCCAAGGTTACAGAGGTTGGAGTGAACTTCTTCTTAAGGAGCGAACAAGATCATGTTTACAGACAAACTTAAGATGGTCAGCAAAGAGCACCTGCATGTAGTCTTGCAACAATCATAAAACTACACAGCTCTGTACAAAGTGAAGGCAGAATAGGACGTTGGAAGAGGTGCTTGTGTATTGTTGACAATAATATACATAATAATACTCCTTGCTTCGTAACAAACAGTGGGCGAGGAATGTGAAGCAGGCCAGTATATGCTGAGCTGAAAGAGAGAGGAAGGTCGCAGAGTGGGGCGAGGCTCCGGAGGCATTTGAAAGTTGTTGGAAGTGTCATCCTTCAGATGAGGCATTAAATTAAAATTGGACACTCAGTTGGGATACTGCGGTGCGCAATTGGCTGCCGCGTTTCGCCCATAAAATGCACTTGGCAATGTATTCCGTGAAGCGCTTTGAGGCGTCTCAAAGCGCTTCACGGAATAAGGCGCAATAAGGCGTTATAACAAGTGCAAGGATTATTATTATTTACACTGAAGTTTTTCAGGTGGATATCAAAGATCCCATGGCCTATTCGAATACAGAATGGAGTTTCTCTCAGTGTCCTGGCCAACAATCTCCCCGATAAAGTTGCTCATTTTGCTTCTTGTGAGACATTGCTGTGTGCAAATCGACTGCCAAGTTTGACTGTTAAAGTACGCCATAAATCCTGTGCAGCTCTTTGAGATTTCCGCCCTACATGAAAGAATCTGTATCAAACGCAAGGACTAGGGATTATTATGTTATTTGTGTATCGCTTTGTATTCTTCCTCCTCTGAATTTCTCTCCCTTTTGTTTGTTTTTCTCCAGTTCGAGTTTGGACATGTCTGCTTGGAATTGGATTCTCTGCGCATTTGCCTGCATTTGTTTAGCGTTCACTCGTGCAACCCAAAGAGATGGCCAATTTAGAAGCGACACAAAGCTGCTCCATTTGGCAGTGGACGACGAGACAGGAAGAGTGTACGTGGGGGCAGTGAATCACCTGTATCAGCTCTCCATGACTCTAGGCGTAGAAGCAGATCTTCACACCGGTCCCAAAAAGGACAACCCAAAATGCATTCCGCCAATAAACCCAACTAGCTGCAAAAACAGTGAAGACATGGACAATTACAACAAGGTTCTGCTCATCGACAAAGAAACCGAAAAGCTTGTGATATGCGGAAACATCTTTCGAGGAATATGCTCGCTGTACAATTTAAATAATTTCACTGTCTTTTACAGTGACGATAACGGGGGCGAGTCCACCTTTGTGGCAGCCGTCGATGCTGCCACGCCCACCGTGGCGCTCGTAACCACCATCACGTACAGTGAAGGCAGTGAGAGGGTCATGTTTGTTGGGAACAGTCGATCGGAGTACTCCAATGCATTGGTTAGCACCAGGACACTCACTCAGAGCCGCTTAAAGTCATATTTCGAGCTGGTGCGGGACTCCTCGTTAGCTGCGAAACCTTCCGTGCCGAAGCAGTACCCCTACAACTTCCGGTTCGTCTTTCAGAACGGCCAGTTCGTTTATTTTATTTTCTCCCGCACGAGGAGAGAGGACAATTCTCCTCGCACCTACGTACTTCGCCTGTGCAAGGACGACGTGAACTACTATTCTAACATCGAGATGATGCTGGAGTGCAAGGACGCTGCCAACAACTTTAACCTTGTCCAATCTGCCTACGTTTCTAACCCAGGAGAGAAGCTGGCACAGGCCATGACTCAGTCGGGACACTATGGGAACGTCACAGTGCAGGATCAAGTGCTTTATGCTGTTTTTAACCAAGGTGGCCTGAACACGGATTCCATCAACAGATCAGCGTTCTGCATGTTTTCCTTGAACCAGATCAATGAGAAGATCGAAGAGAATCGGGAGACCTGCTACAGTGGCAATGGGATGAAAAATGGGGTTAAAGTGATTTATCCCCCATACCAGGACAACACTGCATTCAAGTGCAACGAACTGGCTCCGGTAACTATGGCCTCGATATTTAAACTCCGGGACACTACCCGTGTGAAGGGCGCTATGTAAATGCAAGTTGTTGTCTGTTTTTTTTTCTTGGGTCAATCTTTTTTCGGGTTGTTTCCTTCACACATGCTGCTACTCCATACATGCATGGAGTCCTGAAGAGTATTGGTAAGAGCACATGCTTCGAAAGCGTGAGTACCCGGGTACGATTCCCGGGCCGGGCGAAACCTTAGGCAAGTTTTCTTACTCCATACACCTCCATAATAATAAGTAGGAACCTGGTTGTTGGACGATTGGCAGATTGCTAACCAGAGGTAATTATCCCTCAAAATAAATTAATAAAATAATAATAATAATTTGGTCACTCAATCCACGACTGTTTGTGGGACACTGCTGTGCGCAATTGGCTGCCGGGTTTCACCTACAAAATGTACAGTGAATTCGCTTTACAGAATATATTGTGTGAAGCGTCTTGAGCCGTCTCACCCGACTTGATAAGGCACTATATCAAATGAAAATATTATTATTATTAAACCCACAAGGGGAGTTTCTCCTGATTTCCTGGCCAACAAGCTTCCAGAAGAATTGATCATTCACCTCATGGCTGTTACTGGGACCTTGTTGTTGACCGGCAAATAAAGGTTCAATTCAGATGAAATTCAATTCATTGTACCACGTAAAAATAAGTAAAAATAGGAACTGCGTGTTCTTCATAAATGGGGTAGAACTTGCCATGAGGGAAGTTGAAAGAGATCCACGGGTGATTGACTCATTGCTCACTTTGTTGAAATAATGTGAAACAGTACAATAAAAAATTACATGTGTATAGCGCCTTTCACGTCAGGAGGATGTCCTAAGGCACTGGACAGTCAGGGATTTGGACTCGAAGAGGGAAGGGGCATTGGGATTAGGAGGGACGGAGGGCAGGGGGTCTTGAAACGTGCCTTGAAGGAGCCAAGGGAGGGAGCGAGGCAATAAACGAGGCAAACAGAATGCTGGATTTTATTGGCAAATCATTTGAGTTGAGATCCCCCAGAAGTCACACTCAAGCTGTACAGTTCTCTTGCTGCACCTGGGGAGTTGCACATTTATTCAGCTGGATGTCTAACACACGCGGAAACCCATCACTGTGTTTAAGAGTATCCAAACCAAGCTGAGAATTCCAAGCATCCCACCTACACATGGAAATCCCAGAGATAGGTTATTGGAATGGAATGCGCACTCTCTCCTTGTAGGGACGTATCCTGCTTTCGAATTCCAGAAAGTATTGTTTGGTGAGAGCCCAGGCTTGGGACCCTAGAGTGTTCGTTTGGGTAACTGCTGGTGTACCAGCTAAAGCCGCATAGTTTGCTATTGATACCACTGTTTGGCATGTTTTACCACTGCTTGTTCAGTGAGGACCGCCCTACCCATTAGGGCTTCGGCTTGCAGGGTGAACAGAAGCTGTATGGGAGGATTCCTTGTCCCCAGTGACTGGTCTGCCCTTCCAAGACCTGCCGACGAGCCAGGTTGGCTTTGCTTTCACCAGCAGTGTCCTGGAATACTGCAGACCTGCCTGGCTCAGGAACTGGACTACTGAGACAACCACAGAGGGCTGGCTCGATTCTGACATCCCATAGCCAGATATGTCACATTGGAGCCAATTCAGCTCTAAGAAGAACCCCCCTCCTACCCCACACACACTCCCAAGAGGGATAGTCACTAGTTCGTTGATTGACATCCGGTTTGAGCCCACACTAGGTGGATGATAGGTACGAGGAACTCCCTGGGAGCTTCCTGGTGGGCAACACAACTCAGCATGTCACCATCTTCGTGTCCGCAGCTCAGGCACACTTCCCACTTCCCATTGAGCGATGGTTCCATCAGTTGGAAGTGTGGAGCTTAAGTCAGATGCAAGGATTATTATCACACGTTGGTGAGTTTAATAACCACATTATTTATTCAATTTGGCCTTTAAATGTTTTGGGGATCTCAGCTCGAGATACTTCTGTCCAAGACATTCCATATTTTAACTTCCCTCTTAATTTTTCCGGATGCACACCATACCTAATACCCTTCAGCATTGTCCTGTTCAATAACAACAACAACAAATTGCATTGATGTAGCACTTTTCATGTCGGGAGGATGTTGCAACCTGTATGGGTTTCTTGGGCATGTGCCAAGTTAGAGGAACAGTATTGTCTTCCAGTTGAGATCAGTAAACTCTTTTGTCAGAAAAGCAGAGGTAGCATATCATTTTGTCACAATGCCATCTTGTTCATTCAATGATGTCTATTCAGTGGGGTTTAGCTTATTTCAATGAGTGCTTGTTTGTAATTGGAAGAAAACTTGCAGAACCTTTAGTCTCCCTTTATACAGCTTGATTATTGATGATTGGTGATTACCAGCAAAACGCAATAACAACAACAGCGGATTACATTTGTACAGGGCCTTTCGCGTCAGGAGGCTGTCGCTGGACAGTCAGGGATTCTGACCTGAGCTGGAGGTTGGGATCAGGAGGGGTGGAAGGCAGGTAGTGTAGGGGTAGGAGGGTGACCGAAGGCCCGGTCGAAGAAGAGGGTCTTGAGACGGGCCATGAAGGACACAAGGGAGGGGTTGAGGCGAAGGACTATGGGCTGGAGTTCCAAAGGATGGGGGCAGAGAGGCTGAAAGCCTGACCGCCGATGGTGGAGCGGGCAGTGCAGGAGACGTTGCAGGCCGAAGCCCACCGAGCAGGGAGAACAGACAGGTCAATATGAAGGAGCGAGGCTGTGGATGGCTTTGAAGGCGAGGAGAAGGCTTTTGAACTCTATCCTCTGGGGGATGGGGAGCCAGTGGAGCCTGGCGAGGATAGGGGGTGATACATTTCATCATGTAAATGAAAACTGACTTCTGTCTCTGTGTGTTTTTATTGTTGCTCCGTTAGGGACAAACCAAAAGCTATCCCTGCAGCGGTGAACATCTTCCCAACCCCATCGCAAGCGACGAAGGCGTCATCGTCAAACCATTGAGGATGTACAACACCAATCTGTCAGCGGTGGCTGTGAGCGTGGAGAATGAAAACACTATTGCCTTTTTAGGGAATGTAAAAGGAGAAATTCACAAGGTAAGAAAAAATTGTGAAGACGTTTTTTTTCCCCCCCCAAACAAAAATCCAATCACAGGTTCAGGCCTGGAAAAGTCCGTTTCAGCTTTTGGCGTTTTTATTTATATATAAAAGAGACTTCATATCTTTGCACATGGAATCATAGACATTTGCAGCACAGAAAGAGGCCGTTCAGCCCATCGAGCTCTCAGAGCAAGGTGTTCATTCAATCCCACTGTCCTGCCTTTTCCCGAACACCTTCAAACTTCTGCCTCTCGTAAATCTGTCTATTTCCCCTCTTGAAACTCGCTGGCATTTTTTTTTTAGTCAGCCAGGTGTCTGGCACATGTGGAAACTCATCACCGTGCTTAAGAGTATTCAGACCAAGCTGAGAATTCCATGCATCCCACACCTACGCGTGGAAATCCCAGAGATAGGTTGTTGGAATGGAATGCGCTCTCTCTCCCTGGAGGGAAGCATTCCTGCTGACTAATTCCAGAAGGTATTAGGCACAGTTTGGCAAAAGCCAAGGCTTTGGGGACCCCAGAGTGTGCATTGGGGGTAGCTGCTGGAGTCTAGCCAGCTAAAACAGCATAGCTTGCTATTGGTAACGCTGTCTGACATGCTTTCCCGCTGCTTGTCCAGCCAGGACCATAGTGTTTTGTTAGTGCTTTGGCTTGCAGGGTTAACAGGAGCTGAGTGGGGTGACTCCCTGCCCCAGTGACTGGTCTGCCCTTCCAGGACTTGCCGATTAGCCAGGCTGGACTGTGCTGCCATCAGCAGTGCCATTGAGTGATGAATGAGTGGCATTGACTGCCATGCTGAAGAGTGATAGACTGAACAAGCCTTGACAGTTTACTGTAGCTTTGAGTTTTGTGAAATGGACTGTGCAGGGAGGTAGTGAGGGCAGATTGTGCTACTTGGCAAAGAAATCAATCGAGGGGAACAACACATGGCGGTATACACCACGACGACAACAACAGGTTACACTTGTATGGCGCCTTTCACGTCGGGAGGATGTCCCAAGGTGCTGGACAGTCAAAGCTGTGTCCCGAGCAGGGGGTTGGAGTCGGGGAGGGTGGAGGGCACGGAGGGTAGGGGTAGGAGGGTGGCCGAAAGCACAGTCGGAAGAGGACGGTCTTGAGAGGTGCTTCGAAGTCTGGCTCAGCCTGGCTCAGCTGCAGGACCTTCATCCTCCTTCAGCCTGGCGGTCAATGCCACCCATTGATCGCTCAGTGGCACTGCCAGCCTGGCTCATCGGCAAGTCCTGGAAGGGCAGATCAGTCACTGGGGTCAGGGAGTCATCCCATTCAGCTCCTGGTAACCCTGCAAGCCAAAACACTATACTAATATACTTTTATTTTAAAACTCTAAGCCAGGTGACTCAATACCTGAGGCTAATAAATAGCGACCCCGTTATGACACACCCCGGTTTAGCATGGGTCTGGTGTGGATCCCCGACCCATCCAGCTTGAGGCAATGCCTGGCTGGGTTCCTGCCCACTGTGCTCTCGCTTTGCCAAGGAAGTGGACATCATCGCCACCTTCTGCCCGTAGCGTGCATGCACAGTGTGTAGGAAGTGATGTCAGTGACGATCTGATAACCTGGAAGCACTCGAGCAATTTATTCGCGCACCTCATTATAATGCGGGCGGTTGGGTTGATGGACCTAAACTTGCCGTGTTTTAGCGCAGTTGCTCTGGATTATTTCCCCCCCCCCCCGTTCTTAATACGCGTCATGGTCCCGATTCAAAATTCTGTGCGCGGTTTGTCTTCCGAAAGCGTAATCAAGCCAGGTGACGCTGAGCTTGCAAGTAGCTTGATGGATTTGGTCATCTTTGCTCTTATGACCTTAATATTTAATAATCATCATAATAATAGTAATCCTTCCATTTGTTATAGCGCCTTATCACGACTCCGAGAAGTCTCAAAGGGCTTCACGGAATATAATGCGAAGTGAATAATAATAATAATCCTTACATTTGATATAGCGCCTTATCACATCCTTGAGACGTCTCAAAGCGCTTCACAGTATATACTGTAAAGTGTATTTGCAAATTCTTTGTCCAAATTATGGCGATGCTCACCCTCATTTTGCTATTCCAGTGAGTGTTCTTTATGTCAAATTAGTTGAGTTGAGGACATTTTCCACACCAGGGAACCCTTGACAATGCCTTGAGATAATTGTGTCTGCTTTGCCTGGTCTGATCTTTGGAGATGACTTAACCCCCAGGAAGGTCCCACCTAACCATCCATTCCCAGGGTTTTCGAAGAAAAAACAACACTTGAAAGAGAAGGGGTGAGGGGGCAAAGTGAATCGTCTCATCAGAGATTTCTATTGCATTTCATCGGACACAGAAAATAATTCTGCAGCCCAAACGGAAATGTTTTCCATTCACAAACGCAATGCGGAATGACTTGGCATTCGGGAGGTTTTGAATGCATGAGTTACGAACACTATAGTGTCCCCATAAATGACTTGTGCACGTTTCCTACACAGCAATAATGAATGTTTACTTCCCAACAGGTGCACCTGCACGCTTCAGCAGATGAATATCAGACTTTGCATCTAGATCCCAACAGCAAGGTGAACAGTGACCTTGTTTTTGATGCAAAAAAAGAGCATCTGTACGTCATGACCGAGAAGAACGTATGTAATACTTTTATCTGCGTTTTATATTCTTTTAAAGATTGTTAGAGAACCATTCGGTTAGTTTTTCCCCTTTTTAAATTGCTTTATTATTTATTGCGATCTAAAAATTAAACTTCAGCTCTCGCCATAGCCATGGCCCCCCCCACCATCTATCACAGGGTGTGACTCAAAGGGCCTTAGGTGAGGAGACGCAAATAGTCTGGGGTTCCCACTGTCCGATCGCTGTTTGAGGTCCCCGCTAAGAAAGTTCCCTTGTCACATCAGGTAAGTGCGGGATTGGACTCAGCTGTGATGCCTTCTGCATTATAGTAGCCTCCTGATACTCTAACTCAGAACTAAGGCGCAGTCTTGTCCTGTATTTATAGGCAAATGCGGCAGCCAATTTTTTCAAGGCAACTTCCCACAAACAGTCATGAAATGAACGAATGATCTTTCTGGGGTATTGTTGGCCGGGACACTGGGAGAAATTCCCTTCGCTTTTTTGAGTCATGTCATGTGATCTTCAGCATCTACTGAAACTGGCAGATGGGACCTTGGTTTAACATCTTATCTGAAGCACAGGTTACCTGAGGGGCTGTTAATTCTCATGTCAGCACCTTCAGGAGAAGAGAGATGGAGAATATTAGTTTTTTTTTCCAAAAAAAACCTAACGTACCAATGTGAGAAAGACAATTCTAATGTATCAAGAGTATTTTAAGAGTGTGTGTGGAGAGCAAAACAGGTAATACTCCTTGCATTAGTGAACAGAATTCCTGGGAGAATTGAGTGTTTAACCGGGTTTAAAGAAGGAAGAGTGAGAACGAGGTGTTGGTGCTATCAGACATTGGAACTCATAGGCTGTCACAAAGCCGCAGGGAAATCCTCGAGTCCTGAATTGCAAATCTGTCCATACCACTGAGCATGTCTGGAGCAGGGAGAGACAACAACAACAAATTATATTCACATAGCGCCTTTCATGTGGGAGGATGTCCCAAAGCACTGGATAGTCAGGGATTTGGACCCAAGCAGGGGGTTGGGATCAGGAAGGGTGGAGGGAGTAGGGGTAGGAGGGTGACCGAAGGCGTGGTCAAAGAGGAGGATCTTCAGACGGACCTTGAAGGGTTAGGGTTAGAGACATCTGGGACCTAGCTCGTGTGTGCCTTCTGTGGTAACTCGGAAGAGTCCCAGAGCCTTGGGACCTCCTCCCGATGTGAAAGACACTATACAGGTGTAATTTTGTTTTTGTTGTTGATAGCATCGAATGTGAGGCCGAAATCAATGGAGTCGAGAAGCTGATGTATTGCAAATGATCGTGTCTTTTCCCCATCAAAAAGAAAGTTGCTGAAAAAGTGAAGCTGTGCACAAGAATTGACCTATAATTTGCCACCCACCATTGTGATTGTAGAAAACACGAGTGTGTGGCATTTACACTTTAATCATCTGCTTAATATTTAAATACAAATAAATATTAATGCATGTTTTGACATTTTCTTCATCCTGTTGTGCTCTCAATTCATTTTTCAGCAAATACAGATAATCTCGCAGAAGTCATATGAGTCAGGTTCATAATAATAATAATAATAATCCTTGCATTTGATGTAGCACCTTATCACGTCGTTGAGATGCCCCGAAGTGCTTCACAAAATATACCATAAAGTGAATTGACTGGATATTTTGTGGGCGAAACGCAGCAACCCATTACAATTGACCGTAACATTTAATATGACTTTCGCAAAGTACGAGTTGTGCATAAATTGGATTTTATACGACTAACGAATTATATCTGTACAATGTACGTGCCCTCATGTGCAGAAAAGACGTACAGTGAATGGCATGAACTCCTACAAAAAAAATCTGACCAGTGCAGAGAAATCAAAAGTGTTTTTTTTCCACAGGAAAATGAATGGGACTTGGGTGGTCGGCGATTCTATGACTTATAACGAAATCACTTATGCGAGTTCACCTGCAGTAACTTTGTGAAAAAAACACCTCTTCGTTTCTGAAGTGCATCACTTCAGGGTTATCGATTGATTGTTTTGCTTTGCAGATCAGTCGTCTGTCAGTACAGGAATGTAGCAGATACGGAAATTGTGCAGTTTGCATCGATTCTGGGGATCCTTACTGTGGCTGGTGTGTGACAGAGGGAATGTAAGTATTGTATGAATGTAAGATATTTGGAGCCGCTTGTGTTAAGGACCGTGTCTACTAGGAAAACCAGAGCTAAAATCTAAAATCTGTTTTCAATGGGAAAGACCGGTAATGTTTTCGGTTGGGGTCAGAGTTGATGTAAGCTCTGGCTGTTTTTCAGGGAGGTAGAGAGGGAGAGGGAATCACATAACAAAAAAAGTTAATGTTAAGAATAGATATGTGATTATAGCCCCCCACTCTTTTCCCCACTTTCCTCTCTTCCCCCCAACCACCCCCCATAATATATCAGTATATCAGCGGCTGCAGAAATGCAACAATTACATAACAACAACAACTTGCATTTATATAGTGTCCCTTATGCAGAGTAATGTCCTAGAGCGCTTGACAGTGGTGGAGCACGACACCTAGCCGGTGGGGGAGGTGGGAGGTGATTGTAGACACGGCCGAAGAGGAAGGCCTTTAGGCGCGACCTGAAGATGGGGAAGGAAGGCGGAGGGATAGACGAAGGGTGTTCCAGAGTTTCGGGGTGTAGTGGCTGAAGCACGGCCACCAATGGTGTGAAACCAATAAGAACGTAAGAATTTGCCTGGCGAAAAAAGTCCAAGGTCCATCCAGTTCGTCTTCCACCATCCTGGCAATCGCTTGCACATGTCATGTCCCAGACTACATACTGTATCCCGAGATATGATTTCCTAACAGAATCTTATCTGATTTGATCTTGAAAGAATTTCTTCTGCGTCCACTGTCTCCCTAGGGAGCCTTCTCCACTCTCACTCCTGGAGAAGATGTTTCCGCAGATTTGTTTTGAATTTGCCCCCCCCCCACCACCCCCTCAATCGCAGGCCATGTCCTCTGGTTCCACTGTTCAGTCCAAATAAAACAGCTTCTCACGGTCCACATTAACAACCTGCATTTATATAGATAGCGCCCTTCACGTAAGACTTTGGCATTGACTTGGTATTTAAACGCCTCTTTCCCTTGTAATTGCTTCTGGTTTAAAGACTAGAATTGGCGAATAAATCCCTTTTAGACAAACTGAAGTAGCATTTTTCCACAACGTGATCCAAAATTAATGAACTGTCCGTTCCCTCCTCCAGAGTGTGTGGTCAGGCCAGACAGTGCAGTTGTAGCATCATTGCATTCTGGAGCTCTTATTCTCGTGGATTTGTGCCATATTAAAGAGTCTGTCTCATTCAAAAACCTTAATTAAGTACTTCACAACTCTTCCCCTCCGCACACTGCAGATTATTCAGAACGCTGCAGCTCATGTCCTCTCCCACACTTGTGAGCCAGTCACCCTCGCCCTCGCCCGGATTCACAGACTCCCCATCCCCCAGAGGATCTGGTTCAAGATCCTCGTCTTCACCTTTAAAGTCCTTCATGGTTTTGCTTCATCCTACCTCTGCGACCTTTTAAAACTCCGCTATCCTGTCCACTCCCTCCGCTCTGTAGACACTGGCCTGCTCCACATCCCCCGTCCTTCAGCCTTTCTGCCCCCACCATATGGAACTCCATCCCGGAACTCCTCTGCCTAATCACCACCACCACCACCCACCGTCCCTTGTCTCCTTCAAGGCCCGTCTCAAGATCTTCCTTTTCCACCGTGCCTTTGGTCATCTTCCTTGATCTCCCTGTTTCCCCCCACCCTCCACCCTCCCCCACCCGTCCCTCAGCTCGGGTCCGTAACTCTGTCTGTCCAGCGCCTTGGGACATCCTCCCGACATGAAAGGTGCTATACAAATGTAATTTTGTTGTTGTTGTTGTACCCTCCTCCACGCCTATTGCCCTCAACCCCTCTCTGATCCTAACCCGCAGCTCGGGGGCAAACCCCACCATTGTGCAGCTCCTTGGGATATCCTCCCGACGTGAAAAGTGCTATATAAATGCAATTTGTTGTATTGCTGTTGTGGTCACTGCCTGAGGATGGAGGCCCTGCCCAATGAGTCTTGGTTGTACTGTACTGGACTGAATGTTTTGGATTCTCGGATATTTTGTGAAGTCCTAATATTTTTTGAAGTCCTAACCGTGTTCTTGTTTGTGACCTGTTACAACAGTTGTTCCAGGAAGTCGGACTGTAAGAGAGCTAGCGAGAAGGATCATTGGTTGTGGAGCCTGAACAAAAAGTGCATGACAGTCACCAGTACTGCTCCTCAGAACATGAGTCGCAATGACCCAGGCGAGGTAGTATTTTGTTACCGAGATTTGATCAGTAATGCAAGGATATTATCTCTTGTTAAAGTTCCTCAAAGTAAGGGGGGGGGGAAGGTTTCTTTTGAGAGCGACTGGCTCCAAGGATGTTGATGGCCAAACTCTGAAATCTCGACAGCCACGTTTAATGAAACATAACGGTGTTTTTGTCCTGGTGAACAAACACGTGGTTAGGAATTATTTTGATTCTATCAACGTGAAATGAAATAATAACAAAGCAGCCACTTTGGCACCGGCCTTCCAGTACAACATAAAAACGTTCAGACAAAAACAAATGCGCTTGTTTTTTTTGCAAATTCTTTTGACTAACAGGGTTATAAATGCAAACGCTGCGTACGAGAAGTAAAAATAAGAGGAACGGGAACTGAAAAGATGGGACAGAACTTGCTAAGGGTGCGATTGAAAGAGATTAGTTGACCCAGTGCCGACCATGTCTAAACAAAACAAACAGGATTCTGCACTGCGTTGCCAAATCAGTTGAATTCGGTTGAGTGGAAGTCAAGCTCAAGCTGTGAGTGTTCTGGTCAGGCTGCATCAACAGCTACCCCAGGCCCTTGAGGCATTGCAGAGCAGAGCAACAAGGCAGATAGATGACCCTACGTTCAAGTGATAAGCTTTGAGGAAGGACTGTTTAAGATGCCATTTGGCAGTAGAACAAGCGGTTACATGAGTCGCGAGAGAGAAAGGGAGAGAGAGTTCAACAGTTAGAACAGATTACCACAAAGGGTAGTTAAGAACAAGTAATAAACTGAGAGAATTCTATTGAGAAACTGGTAGAGTGGGTAATCTGAGAACTGAGACCTTCTTCCAAACCTCTCTTGTGATCCTAAGCATCCTATTGAGGTGAAGGTTCATTGGTACCACTAACTGGTGTAATTATCTCAGGGTCCTTTTATAAAATGTTTTCAAGTGGGTTTTTTTCAAAATTCTCTGATCCCGTTTTGGGAAATAATGGTTAACGGAGTTTTCATATCAGTAAAATTATAGTGATAGAATTCAGATACGAGTCGAGAGCACAGTAGGATTGAAAAAGGCCGAATGTATACAGTCAATTCACTTTACAGTATATTCTGTGAAGCGCTTTGAAATGTCTGTTTCTTCTCAGCCTCACTGTTTTAAGATGTGCTCGTTTGCTCGTGGTGTTGATCGATAAGTTTTGTTAATCTTCTGATGTTTACAGGTGCAACTGAAGATCGATCCGTTCCCTGATTTAAACAACTTTGAAAATATTGAGTGCTATTTTGACCATCGCAAAACAGAAGTAGTGAGATCTGAGGTGGAACCTGTCAGGTGTAAGTCGTTGCCGATAAATGAAATCCCTGCGACACCTTCGAATCAAGGTGATTTGTACTAACTATTGACATCATTGAAAGCAGTATTATATGTATATATATTGTGTGTGTGTGTGTATAAAAAAATCACAATACTGACTCGCTCACCACAGAGTGATGCCTCACAGTTAGGGTCAGTTTTGTGATATATTTTGTCCACCTTTCTGTATCCTGGTAGTCGTTCCATTGACTGAACACACAAACCGTTTGTGAATATTTCTGTTCGTTGTCTTCGACGGATGTAATCCAAACCCGAGGAAGTCTTTTTTTTAAAAAATTGCAGCCGTGTAGTTTTAACTGGTTGAACTCCAGCAGTACCCACTGGAGTTTCTTTCTCCTTAGCCTCGGCTTTTGCTAACCTGCGCCAAATACTCTCTGGACGTAGGGTGCGCCCCGACAGAGTGTGCGTATACCGTTCCAGACACTGGGAAATTTCCACACGTATGTGTTGTAGATGTGTGGAATGAAGTGTTTGATCTGTGACTGTTTTTTTTCTCTCTCACCCAGCTTACAAGCCAACCATGTTCTGCGATGCTCATATACAGCAGTGCAGACTGGAGGTTATTTGTAAAGACTGAACCAAATAGCTCATTGCATAGTAGAGAATTTGGTTAACTTGAATTGCAAAAAAGCTTTATTAGTTTAGGCTGTAATGTACAACATGCGGTTTCTAAGAAAATGTTTACTTCGAAAAGCTGATTGAAAAGCTATGAACCTCTTGTCTATAGATTTTGTTGCTGTTGAGGTGGAACTAATATACAATAATGGAGGTTCTCTTGTGTCCCTCGCAAAGACCCACTATTCCTTCTATGACTGCAAAGCTGCCATCAACCGTGCTCCAAACACTCCGTAAGTATCAGTTGTCGGGCTTTTATTGCTGCTCTTCCACGAAGTAACTCAATGCATTGATCACGAGCCAGATTCACTTCCCCAGATTGAAATGATGTGGCCGTACATGTAGAATTCACTGGTAGCGTGAACCTGTCCCGTGCGTATTATCGAGTTGGACGCTCGGTGCATCAGCCGCCTGTTCACTCTGCGCGCAACAACGGTTACCTGGGTTATTGCAAGACTCTGGTCTCTTCCTTGCCCTTCAATCAGTCACACGCAGATTGACAGTCTTTGCCAAACTTCTGCACCAGTCAACCGTGTTACTGACGGTTTGATACAAGCGCAGCTAGAATTTAACTGAAAAATGCATGGGCTGGACTGGCCTGACTTAGTAACTAACAGAGAGACAGAGAATCAGAGAATATTAGGAATCCCGTAGTGTCGTGGTTGGTGCACTCACCTCGCAACTGAGAGGACCCGAGTTCTATTCCCTTGACGGGGCGAAAGCTTAGGCGAGTTTCGTTCCCCCACACGCCTCTGATTACCTAGCAGTAAGTAGAACCCGATTGTTAGGCATTTGGCAGATCCCTTTCCTGGGGTAATAGTCCCTAAAAAAAAATATCAGTCACTTGTTCCACGGCTGTTTGTGGGACGCTGCTGTGCGCAATCGGCTGCCTCTGTTCACCCACGAAATGCACAGTCAATCCACCTTACAGTGTATCCTGTGAAACACTTTGAGACGTCTCAACGACGTGAAAAGGTGTTATATCAAGAGCAAGGATTGTTATTGTTATTTTCTTTAAAAATGGCAATTTGGGACTTGCCTAAACAACTGCTAACTCATCCATCCACTGGAGACAAATTCTCCACTCCCAATCCCCTGCTTTTTCTCTGTGTCCTTTTCTATTCTCTTCGCAGTGTTTATCCGACTTCCTTCGAAATGGTGTGGTCCTATCCTATGGTCATCACTTGTGGCCAAACTTAGTCTTAACTCTGTGTGAAAACAATCCCTGTGACCTCCCACTTAATTCTTCTCACCAAGGCCATGGACACAGAGATATTGATCAAACAGCACGTAGCGTATCATTGTAAACCTTGTTTTTTATATTAGGGAACCGTTTTTGTTTTCCCTGTCCTTTGGCATGTGTGCCGATATCTCGGAATCTTCCAACTGTGGAGATGCTGATGGGGTTGTGAGAAAGGTTCATCAATGTACAAAAGCGATGAATGAAATCTCTGCTCGGAAATCACACCGATTACACAGACTGTGATCAATGAAGACACAGCCTAGCAAGTTGTTTTTTCTCTTCCAACCTGTCGTACAGCGGGTTGGTTAGTGGGTGGGTTTTGGTTAGTTGCCCATGACCCTTCACACAGCAGCCTCTCAATCTGTGCTTGCTGCTGGGGTGAGGAAGAGCCAGGCCTTTCTGCACAGTGAGAAGAAATAGTCATCCAACCACAGATACGTCTGAGGAGAAAGTGCCAAGACCCCTGAGTATCTAATATTCCCTCTCTCAGCCAGCGATGCTACATGTGAGAAACGGCTAAGGAGGTGGGGAGAGGGAAGAGAAATAACAATCAGATCACAGTCCTGGTCATGCACTGTAATTCCCTGAAGGTTAGCAATAGAATCATCAAACTTCTCAGTTTAAAAAAAATTCCTGTTTTAAAGATAGATTATGATTATAATAATACTTACATTTGATACAGTGCCTTATCACGGCATTGAGACGTCTCAAAGCGCTTCACAGAGTATACTGTCAAGTGGAATGACTGTATTTTGTGGGCAAAATGTGCCAGCCAATTACACACAACAGTGTCCCATAGACAGACGTGGGTTGAGTGACCAATTTTTTGGGGGGGAGGAATTATTACTCCCAGAAAGCGATTCGCCAATCGACTAACAACCAGGTTCCTACTTATTTGATGGCAATACTTCAAAATATACAAAACGATATGATTGACGTTTATTATAGTGCCTTTCACGTCAGGAGGACTTCCTTCACAGAGCTTGACAGTGGTGGGTGGACATCCTAACTGGGGGAGAGGAAAGTGGATCGAAATTGCAGTTACCGTAAATAGACAGTTATCACTGTATTAAAGAAACATCTGTAATATGCAGACTGAGGTTTCCAGGCAGTGGTTGGAATTTGAGAACACATTTGAGTTGATTGACTATTACGTTGGAATAGATTTGTGAGCTCACTTGCAGATTTGTGGCTTGTCATGACTTTCAAAACAAAAATCTGCTCTAAAAGAACCAGAGGGGAGATGAGGAGAATCTTTTTTAACACAAGGAGTTGGTCTGGAATGCACTGCCTGAATGGGTGGTGGAAACAGATTCAATAACAAGTTTCAAAAGGGAATTGGAGGGGTACTTGAAAAGGAAAAATTTGCAAGGGCACGGGGAACAACAACAACAACAGCTCTTCCAAAGAGCCAGGGCAGACCCAATGGGCCGAATGGCCTGATTCTGTGCTGTAATATCCTATGATTCTAGCAACAAAACCTAGTTTTTATTTTGCCCTTGAACATCTGCATATGGAGTACTTGAGAGAGAGAGATGGATGGATATTCCTTGTGTTGTTTAAAGCCAATCATCGAAATTACAAAGGATGGGATTCCACCTGCCTGTTGAGTTGGACGTTAAAGATGGGTGGGGCAGGATGGTCAACCCTGATGGTGTAGTGGATAGAGCTGTGGTTTACGGACCAGGAGCTCGCTGGTTCGAATCCTGGTTCATGCTGAGTTGCAACATAATACAAACTTATGTACGTCTTTCATTTTGGGAGTTTGCTGTTCCTGGCCCAGATATATATTGGAGGCTAAATTGATCCCCAGCCTTTCCAGGGGTTGAGAGAGGGGGGGGACAAACATCTCAGGATTCCTTTTCCCACTACAGCACCCTCTACTGGTTGTGTGCACGTGTGGGCAGCTGTGTGGGGAGAGATCGTGGAATCTTATTTAGGGTGTCCAAATATTGTGTTTGTCCAACTATTGTGACTGGAGAGAGTCCTGTAGTGAATTGGTTACAGCACTCACCTTGCAAGCGAGAGGACTTGGGTTTGATTACCGGGCAGGCCGAAACGTTAGGCAAGTTTCCTTACTCCACACGCCTCTGTTTGCCTGGCAGTAAGTAGGAGCCCGGTTGTTAGTCGATTGGCAGATTGCTTTTCCGGGGTTAATAATACCTTCAAAAATAAAAATAATAGTAATAATTTGGTTACTCAGTCAAAGCGCTTTGAGATGTCCATCTGATGTGAAAACACTTGAAGATGCTGTTCTACGTGAAATACAAGGATTATTACAATGAGTCTTATCCTTGCTGCAATAATGACCAGGTGCTATGGTTTTGTACTGTCTTTGTTATCTACTGTTACTTTATACCGGAGAATGTAGTCGGTTTGAACTCTTCTCCGGCTGGGCAATCCTGGGTAACTAAGCTGGTGTTTTTATAGCTTTACATGTTTCGGTTTTGTGCATTTAACCTTTAGGTGCATGTCCTGTGTAAGCAGCCCATGGAACTGTCACTGGGAAATTGCAGAACACGAGTGCAAAGATGGCGATGAAAGTCAGAGTGTGGATGTTGACTCTGTGGTTCCATTCGGAATGGTAAGCTTCAGTAAACGTCTTACTGGAAAGAATGCCAACCTGGCGACAAGTTATCTACCTCTTTGACTGGGCCATTGGGCACCCCCACCTTCTCCATTGCTCAGCATCCAACCCCACTACTGTGAAGCGTTCCGAGATATAATCTTATATGAAGGATGCAATACAAACGCAAGTTGTTGCTGTTGGGGAGAGTCTGTGATGTAGAATATTGCACACAGACTGTGGAGGGAGTGGGCTTGACGGCCCAAGTGGCTTTTTTTGTTCCGTTGTCGCTTGTGTTTGCTTCACTTGACTGTTGTCCATAATGTATTGACTTGACCACAGTCCCTCCCGTGCCTCCTTCAAGGCCCATCTCAAGATCCTGCTCTTCGACCGTGCCTTCGGTCACCCTCCTACGCCTACCCTCCCTGCCCTCCACTTCCCAATCCCAACTACCAGCTTGGGTCCAAATCCCTGAATGTCCAATGCCTGGAACGTCCTCCTGATGTTAGAGGGAAAGCTTGCTGTGAAACTCTGTAAATGCTGTCACTGTGACTCCATTTGATTTGTGCTTTTCTTCTTTCATTCTAGGCATCATCCTGTCCGCAGTTTTTTGATCCTAGCCCTTTGTTAATTTCAGTCGGTTCCAAATCTGACATTACGTTTCAAGGGAAGAACTTGGATTTTTATAAGGTATGCGAGAGATGAAGAAACAAGTTAAATTGTTTTAAGAACAAATTCAGTAGAACACAGTTTATCTGCACGCCAATTAACCGCATGTTCGTTCAACTGCATAGACCTCCAATGCGAGTTGGATGCAAGCCACCAGATACCAGCAAAAATACTTTTGTGCACATTAGCCAAAGTTTCTAAGGATGCTCTAACACTGACTAAATTGCCACTTGTAACCTTGCACGTAATTTCACATGTGCGCACAAGTGTAATGTTTTTGCCTGCGACTAAGGTATGTCTAGAATTTCAGTGTACGGTTTAGGATTATAGGTAGAGACGGTGTAGAGATAAAGGTTAGAGCGACGCTCAGAGGGAGAGAAGAGAGAGCAAACGATAGACAGCGAAAGTGAGAGAAAGAGAAAGTGGCAAATTGAGGAAACGGCAGAAAAAGTGAGAGAAACCGAAAGACAGAGGGAAAGAGTAATGGGAGCGAGAGAGAGAAAGCCAGAGTAAAAGAGAGAGAAGGGCTGACATAACGTGATGTGACAGTATAACTCTCGATAGTTTTATAGTTTTAAAGTTTATTTTATCGTTAGCACTGTAGCCAATCTTTACATTGCGTACTGTCCAATTATACGCAAAGGGGCCGCTCCCACTTGGTGCAGATAATCGGCTTAACTGCTGTATCGATACTTTTTACTTCATCGTATTTTCTCTGACACAGAGCAAGAAATTCACTCTGACGACGGCTGACGATTTCATGAGAAAGAAACTTCCAATAATTTATGCCATCGATAACGAGTCAAAGCGTTACTATCAGTGTGATAAGATTGAGGTTAGTGATGGTGAAACTGGCTCTTCATTTCTATTGATTTGCAGTGTTTTCTTCAATTTTATTGTACTTGGAGTCCCGTAGTGTGTGGTTAGCTCACTCGTCTCGCAAGCGAGAGGACCTGGGTTCAATTCTCAGGTATTTCCTTACTCCACACACCTTTGTTTATCTTGCAGTAAGTAGGCACCCAGTTGTTAGTCGATTGGTGGATCGCTTTCTGGGGTAATAATCCCTCCAAAACCCAAAATTGGTCACTCGGTCCACGACTGTTTGTTGGACACTGCTGTGCGCAATCGCGTTTCGACCACAAATTATACAGTCAATTTTCTTTACAGGATATGCTGTGAAGCGCTACGAGATGTCTCAGCGATGTTAGAATGCCTGTTCAAAATTACCTGCCGCATTCACTTATAAAATACACCGACATGTGAATACACTTTACATCCTGTGAAGCGCTTTGAAACAGTGATAAGGCACCATATGCAATGCCAGGATTATTATTATTAATGTCTGTTTAGCTCCCCGATGGACCAGTCAGTCAATAGTAGTGTTTTTTCCAAACCCCAGATATTGCATGCACAAAGCCCAAATATTGCATGGTGGGGTTCCTTGTGGTGCAGAGCAATAACACAGCATTAACCCACTGCTGTATTACCACATTGGCTGAGTTTCACTGGAAGTGGTGTAGCCGGAAGGAATGGGTTGGGATTGGGCCCCAGACCACCTTGCCAGTCAGAGATATCAATGGCAAGCTATTGCTTCTTTAGCTGGTTAGACTCCAGCAGTTACCCCAACGCACACTCTGGGGTCCCCAAAGCCTTGGCTCTCGCCAACCTGCGCCTAATACATTCCAGAATTTGGTCAGCAGGATGTGTCCCTCCAGGGAGAGAGTGCGCATTCCATTCCAACAATCTTATCTCTGGGATTTCCACGTGTAGGTGGGATGCAGGGAATTCTCAGCTTGGTTTGGATACTCTTAAGCACGGTGATGGGTATCCACAAGTGTCAAGACACCCGGCCGCCACCCCCCCCCCCCACACACACACACAAAAAACCACAGTGTGCGTGCGTGCATGCAAATGAGTAACCTTTGCGTCTTTGGCTTTAGAGCACTGGGCAAATCTGGAGCCTGGCTGTACAGAGTCACTTGACAGTGCCAAACGGGCAGTCCTTGAGGGAGGCACCAGTGTCTAGCACGGAGGAGCAGTGCCAGAGTTCAGCTGCCAATGTCAAGTCTGGCTTTTTGTAACTGCAAAGAATCAGGGCCCCAGAGTCTGAGCAATTAATTTGCCGAGTGTAAATTGAAGGGTGTCTGTCTGAAGCAAAAGAGCCTAGTTCTGTAAAACTGAAAGGGCTTTGAGATTTTGTGTGTGTGTGTGTGTGCGAAACGCACTGGTGATCAGGTCTCTTTGTTAGTTCCTTTGTTCGTTCAGTTTCTATTGAATTCAACAGAGAATTCAACTCGGCCAATGTTAACACAAGAATTCAGAACCGGAGTCGTTACCCACCCTCCGCCACCTCCTCAGCTTCTCGGCTCCACCCAGCAGAGTGAATTCACATTGCTCGTAAAGCAACAATAATTTGTAGTTTCGGAAATAAATGATCCATTTCCCAGAACAATTCACACCTCCCTCCCGCAATCTCCAAATGAGAGATCGTATCTGCACATGGAACATAATGACTGCTTAAGCAAGCACAGGCTGGTCCCACTTCCAAAGCACACACACACACTCAGACAGTCACAGCCGTGCTGATTGCAGTGGGGAAGAGAATGTGCTTTTGTACTCAGTGGCTTCTTCTGTTCCTCTGACTTACAATGAGGGAGGGAGGGAGTGGTGTGGTGCGATGGAGATTGCTACCCTCTGTAACCGTGGCAGCGCAGCTCAGTGGCTGTCTTGAGGCAGTCAGTCGCTGCTGTGCTCCCCATCTCATGCAATGAGTGCACTGGGGTCTCCAATTAAACGTCTCTTAATTGCTGTGATCAGAGCGGCCTCTGTTCTTCCCACGAGCAGCTGTCAAGTAGCTTGCTACCCCGCTACAATATCAGAGATCTGTGCGCGTGTGTGTGTGAACGGACAGCATGAATCACAAAGATAACCCCGAGGTCTTTCCCTGAACTGTTCGTCTAAATGAGGGAATTAAACGTGTTGTTATGTGTGTGTGTACAGAGAGAGAATGACTTGGACAAGGGTTGTAATGCAGTGAAAGTTTCCATCTGTGGCCGCCCCATGTTCGGTCAGCCCTCTGGGCACCTTCCGACATTTCGTGCCATTTAGGTGTATTGAGTCGCTTCTCTGTAATTGATTTGGGGTTAAAGTTTATTGGAAGATGGATTTGAAGGTCAAGCCCTGCACAGCCGTTGAAATAGAGCATCCTGTTGATTGCGTGGTATCATCAGAAATGTGCTTTAGCACATCTCGTCTAAAGCACACCACCTGCTTTATCATTTCATGCTCTCACACCTCCCTTACCTCTCCAAACTGTTCACACTCACGCCTCTACCCACTCCCATGGCACCTTCAAGCCTCAATCCCTCTGCCTTCTCGCCTGTTTCCCCGTCTTCAGATCAAACCTGAAGATTTCCCTCTTCAATGGTGCCTATGGTTGCTTCCTCTTTCTCAGCGTCAAACTGTGCCATTGATCACTGCTCTCTGAGACTGCATACCCCGTGGGAATGGTCTATATAAATTCAAGCTGTTGCTTTAGGTAACAACAACAGCTTGCATTTAGATAGCAGAGTGGCGTCCCAGAGTATTTGGTAATGGGGTGTTCCTCCAGCACTGCTCTGGCGTATCAGCCTAGATTACGAGATCACATCCTCTTGTGGAGCTTAAATGCACAGCCTCCTGACTCCGAAGCCAGAGTTCTGCCCACTGAGCCAGAACGTTGAATAAAGGAGCCTGATGGACGCACCACCCTCGTTCAGATTATGTGTTAATTCTGGCGAATAAAGTTTTCCACTCCAAAAACTCTACTGGAACTCTGGGGCTGAGATGGCTGGGAGCGTTACCTGCAAGTGCTGAGTTATTGATAATAATTATATTAAAAATCCTTGCATTTGATATATTTTCAATAATTTTTTCAAGCAAGTTTCCTTACTCCACACAGAGCCTAATAATAATCCCTCCAAAACCAAAAACAATAATAAATTGGTCATTTTCAATCTACGACTGTTTGTGGGACATTGCTGTGCGCAATTGGCTGCCGCGTTCGCCCACAAATATACAGTCAATTCATTTTACAGTGTGTTCTGTGAAGCGCTTTGGGACGTCCTCCCGACGTGAAAAGCAATATATCAAATGCAAGGATTATTATTATTATTATATCGCCTCATCACAGCATTGAGGGATCTTCAAGTGCCTCACAAGATATACTGTAAAGTGGATTGACTGTGAATTTTGTGGGCGAAACGTGGCTGCCATTTTGCTCACAGCCGTGTCCCACAAACAGTCGTGGATTGAGTGACCAATTTAATTTGGGGGTTTGTTGGCCAGGACACCGAGAGAAACTTCCTTCTCTTTTAGACTAGTGCCGTGGGATCTTTAACATCCACCTGTACAGGCAGACGGGACCTCGGTTTAACATCTCATCCGAAAGACGACACCTCCCAACAGCAAATGCTGCTTTTTTAAAATGATTAACTCTGTACAAATCTTGTTTTATTTTTACAGTTTACCTACGATAGAAATGAAACTTTGATCCTTCAGTTCTCGGTAGAAGTAGATTCCAAGAAAATTGACAGCAACTTGGAAGGTACGTAAAGTATTATTTTTGAAGGGATTAAGACAAAAAGGGTGAAAAATGCAAGTATTTTTCTCAGCAAAAATCACAGTAGTTCAACACAAAGGTTGTGCTGCAACAGCAAAACCAAATTACTTTTGTATAGCGCCTTTCACATCAGGAGGACATCCTAAAGCGCTGGACAGTTAGGGATCTGCACCCGAGCTGGTGGTTGGGATCAGGAGGGCTGGAGACAGAGACGGTAGGGATAGAAGGGTGACCAAAGTCACGGTCAAAGAGGCGGGTCTTGAGGTGGGTCTTGAAGGAGGCAAGGGAGGGGGCGAGGCGGTGGGACTGTGAGATGAAGTTTCGAGGGTGGGGGCAGAGGGGCTGAAGACCTGCCCACCTTCATTAAGAGATAGAGAGGTAAATGGATCTCTCATCTGCACATCCTTTCATCAGCTAAACTAAATAGTTGTCTCGACAGTGCAATCGCTCTGTGACATCTTCCAATCTGAGTGAAACGGCCCAGATTGTGCTCGAGGAAGCGAGTCCCCTGACATACGAAAGGCCACTATTTAATAGCAGTTTGTTTCGTGTTCACAAACCCAAATATCATGTTATGACAATAGCGCAAAGTCAAAACGGCCGCTACTTCTCCCGCTACCCAGGCACTCAGGAAGTGATGGCGGTGGTGGCCACTTTGTCAGACAATGGTATCTCCCATATGTCTCACATCTACGCACAGCGCTTGGAGAATGATGTCGTGCCTGCCACCATTTTCTGCGTGGTCAGGATAGTATCTGGACGTGCGCAATAGTGAGGTCGATTATCCTGTAGATGGCTTGGAGGGAGGATTCTCCCCGAGGCTTAGACCCCTAATAACCTGTCCAACGAAAGTGTCACTGAAGCACGATTGAATTGCTCAGACCCCCCCTCCCTTTTCCCCGTCACTCACATCCACTAAATAACATGCCGCAAATCTACCTTCCCACCTCTGTCAACCAGAGATTGGAGCACAGGCCCATCTGTTAGTTCTAACTCCCTTCTAAGCATCCCTATTGATATCAGTGTGATCCGTGAATGTGCAGAGTTCAGGAAACTTTGCACCGCTATGAACAGCACAGTTTATATGAGATTGCCATGTGATTGTCTGATTCATCCTGATGTATAAACACAATGGAGGTAAATGTTAGTAAAGAGGAAACTGTCTAGACAAATCTCCCAGGATAGCTCCAACAAGTTCTCCAAGGCTCCTCATGGAATTGCATTGGCAGATGCGTGGAGAGGGCTGAGGTGGATAGAATGTTCTCCCAGTTGGCCAGGGAACATTTGACAACCTGGTAGCTCGGTCCATTCGGCGGTGGCTCGGAAGCGAAAGCTCCTGGGTTGTCGATGAGATGATGAGAACGTGCACATGAGACCCATTGAGCCAAAGTCCCAATAGGTGGTCAGGCCGAGCCAGGTGGCGAGTCCTGTGAAAATTATGGGTCCTTTCCACTCGTCAGCTGTATACTTGCCGTTTAATAAAAAGCTTTGGCTGATTAGAACGATATTAATATCCAGTTGGCGTTTTGGGATGTACCATTGCCTGATAAAATGGTCGACACTGACATCACTTACTGAGTGACTGACCGGGTAGCGATTGAAGTGGTGGTGGCCATTTTGTCTTCGCGTAATTGTCATAACACGATGTTTTGAGTTCATGAACCTGAAACCGACGGGTTAAAATACTGGTATTTTGTGATAATAATCCCTGCATTTGAAGTCGCGCCTTATCACGTCTTCGAGACGACTCGAAACGCTTCGCAGGCTATACTGTAAAGCGAATTGACTGTATATTTTGTACGTCAGTGGACTCACTTTCCTCGAGCACAGAGAGTTTTTATGTCTTTCACTTGTTTATTTAACTCCCCGCCATTCCCCAGAGGTGAGCTGCCTCTGGCAATGTGGTTCTATTGATTAGTGTCTGGGGGGGTAGGTGGAGGAGGGAGGGAGGGAAAGTGGAGAGATGTCTCTTCTCTACGTGTAAACCTAATTGCTAAGGGGCTTCTCCCAAAGGGGATGTGAAACCTCAGAGGAGGAGATAATAATAATAATAATCGTTGCATTTGATACGGAGCCTGATCACGTCTTCGAGATGTCTCAAAGCGCTTCACGGGATAAAGCGTGGTGACCATGTATTTTGTGGGCGAAATGCGGCAGCCGATTGCGCACAGCGGTATTGCTACCCTTAGGATTTATTTACTACTAGCGGGGGAAAAAAATCAATCTGTAAGTCAGTCTCAGCAGCCAGCCCATCAGCGCACACTTATGCTTTGGAGTGTGTCTGTCAGTCAGTCCCCGCCCTGACCCTTCATGTGGCCGCAACAGTGCAGACGTCTTTGTTTCTGAAGAGGGGCGGATTTCTCCGTGGATCAATTCCTGAGCTGTCAGTGCATCTGCTTCCTGTACACCAGGGATGTCCCTGCACGATATGGTTTAGTGGCGATAATAATATATATAAAAAAAACCATGTCTCGTCTCTGCTCAAAACCATCTGGTCAGCAGGTGACGCTTTGACTTCCTCCCATTGCAACTTGTTAGAAGTTTAAAACTGAGCCAAGGCTGAGAGCACTCACTGTCTCTCTCTCTCTCTCTCTCTCTCCACGGTGATGGGAGGGGGGGCAGTGGGGATGGGAAGCGGGTTGAGGGAAAGGTGGGGCAAGAGGAGATGGTGAGGTGGCTGAGCAGGTTACAGGGCTCAATCAGTGGCTGAGGTTTGGGAACTTATTATTATTTTCTTCCTCAAATGTGTTTCGGGAATACTTTTCTTTTTTCCCTTTTGGATTGTTTACCACATATTGCCCCCCCCCCTTCCACCCCATTTTGATTTCAACCCTTCTAGTCTCCCTCAAGATGCCCTTCCTGGACAAAATGTCAGGCAGTTGTTGCCCACTCTCTCTCCCTTAACTCTTTCCCCTCCCTCCCTCCAGCCTCCATTACAGTCACCTCATCTCCCATTGGCACCTCCCTGGTGCCCTGCTATTGTGTGTGGAACCTAGAGCGCCTTGGGACGTCCTCCCGACATGAAAGGCGCTCTATAAATGGAATCTTGTTGTTGTTGTAGAGGGAACGTATTAGGCTTGAGCCCTGACGTGTCTGAGTTAGCTGATCTTTGCTGGGCCATAGTGGAGCGGTGGTGGGGTGGTGAGGTGATGGGTTGGTGAGGTGGTGGGCTGGAGTAAAAGGAGCTACAGTTGACTTCAACACTTGCTGGGTTGTGGAGAGGGAGGAAAAATCTGACCAAGGTTCCCCCACTCTCGATCTCTCTCCGGTGACCCAGTGCTTGTGGGCAGTTGAATAGACTGCCACGGACGCACTGTCAAGACTCTCAACTTCATTATAGCCAATTGGCAAGGAACAGGGTGTTACAATACAATACACACATTTGCCCTTTCGCGTCCGGAGGACGTCTCAAGGCGCTGGACAGTCAGGGATTTGGACCCGAGCTGGGGATTGGGATCAGGGAGGATGGAAGGCAGGGAGGGTAGGGGTAGGAGGGTGACCAAAGGCGCGGTTGAAGAGGAGGGTCTTGAGACGTGCCTTGAAGGAGCCGAGGGAGGGAGCGAGGCGAAGGGACTATGCGATGGAGTTCCAAAGGGTGGGGGCAGAGAGGCTGAAGACCCGACTGCTGATGGTGGGACGGGCCAGGCCTGCTGAGCGGATGCCCTATGACAGCAAAGAGCTAATGCCTAGAGGAGCGGAGAACCGATGGGCAGAATGTAAGAGAAAGTCACAACCTCTCCCTCTCTTTGCAGTGACCCTGTACAATTGCTCGTACGGCCGCTCTGATTGTAACCTGTGCCTGGCAGCCGAGGAAAGGTACGGGTGTGTTTGGTGTTTGAAGGGAGCGATGTCCATCTGTGAATACAAAAATCTCTGCTCAAAAGACATAAACAGTTGTCCAGCCCCAACTATTCAGGAGGTGAGCAAAGCCATTTTACAATTGTCTTAGAAGTCGCTGGAAACGTTCAGCTGGTCGGGCGGCATCTACAGCGAGAGTCAAGTGAGATAACGTTTCAGTTCAACGACCTATCGTCCGAATCATTCCTCCCTCCATAGATGCTGCCTGACTTACTGAGCGTTCCCAGCGACTTCTGTTTTTATTTCAGATTTCCAGGATCTGCAATATTCTGCCATTTAGAATGGTCTTTATTTCGATTTTAGAAATAATTTTAGGCTGTTGTTGTTTTTTTTTAACGGGGATGGGCGCGGAGAGAGTTGCACCTTAATTTTTGCTTTCAATATAAACCTGCGTTGCCTTTAGTTGCTAAATATATGCCTGACCCCGTCTGGGTATTTTATATGTGAAGAATCACAGGAAATGGGTGGTATGCGTATGGACCTGTTGAAGAAGAATAGTCCACAATCTATTGAAATAAGACTATTTGAAATAAGAGCCTACATCAGGGTATGTGGTCATAAATTGCAGACAGATGGTGAGTGTTTGACGATGGGTTTATTCAGAGCAGACTCCAAAGACAATCTAGTTCCCATGATTCACCACCAAAAGTCCTGTGGATTCCTGTAGAGTGTTGGTTAGAGCACTCGCCTCGCAAGCGAGAGGACCCGGGTTTGATTCCCGGGCAGGACAAAATCTGAGACAAGTTTTCTTCCTCTACACGCCTCTGTTTACCTAGCGTTAAGTAGGAACCTGGTTGTTAGTCGATTGCCAAATTACTTTCTGGGGGTAATAATCCCTCCCCCAAAAATAATAATAATAATAATTTGGTCAATCAATCCACGACTGTTTGTGGGACACTGCCGTGTGCAATTTGCTGCTGTATTTCTCCCACAAACTATACAGTCAATTCACTTTACAGTATATTCTGTGAAGCCCTTGATTTGTCTGCTACATCAAACGCTAGGATTGTTATAAGATTCGGGCACTCGGACGTTTCTCTATAACACCAAGAAACTCTACTCCTTCCTGTCTGGCTCAACACAGATCAGGGTTTAGACCTGGGACTGTAGTGAGCTTTACCAACCAGGCAATCAAAAGGAACGTACTGGAACATTTTAATTCGGTCGTAAGGAGGGAGGGAAAGACAAAAGATATTTGTTTGCTCAGCCGGGTGTCTCACACACGGAAACCCATCACCGTGCTTAAGAGTATCCAAACCAAACTGAGAATGCCATACATCCCACCTCCACATGGAAATCCCAGAGATAGGTTGTTGGAATGGAATGCGTACTCTCTCCCTGAAGGGAAGCATCCTGCTTAACTAATTCCGGAAAGTATTAGGCGCAGGTTGGCAAGAGCCAAGGCTTGGGGAGACCCCAGAGTGTGCGTTGGGGCAACTGCTGGAGTCTAAACAGCTAAAACCGCAATAGCTTGCCGTTGATACCACCGAGACCAAAGGACAATTGGGGTGGATTATTTTGCGACTGCTTTACTTTAAAGACAAACTATTTCAGTGGTTGTCGCGGTTTTTCACATCTTCACAGAAAATGTAACCACTTGCACGTTCCCGCTGCTCCTCAGATCGATCCAATGAACGGGCCCCAGGAGGGAGGAACGCTGCTTACCATCAAGGGCTCGAACCTGGGAAAATCTGCCGAAGAAATCAAAGCGATCACGGTCGGAAATTTCCCTTGTGATCAAGTCCAGGAACAGTACCAAACGTCCACCAGGTACAGTGACAAAAAGGAGTAGAGAGCAACAGGACCAGCAAACAGCTGAGCAACACAACATCAACCCCAGACGCTAGATAGATACTGTGGCTCGGGTATTTGGTTACTCAATCCACAACTGTTTGTGGGACGCTGCTGTGCGCAATTGGCTACTGCTTTTCGCCCATAAAATATACAGTCAATTCACTTTGCAGTATATTCTGTGAAGCGCTTTGAGACGTCTCGAAGACGTGATAAGGCGATATATCAAATGCAAGGATTACTTATTATTGTTCAGCACGTGGTTGCTTTGCTGCCTTTTCTGCTTTGTTGGAAGTGTCCCAGCAACAGAGGCATTCAGGGCACACCTATACTTGTGCTCTCACCCTGCTATGCCTTTCAGCACTGTATTCTGCCCACTTTTGTTCAATAACAGAAACTAATAATTTGGTCACTCAATCCACGACTGTTTGTGGGACGCTGCTGTGCGCAATTGGCTGCCCCGTTTCGTCCACAAAATATACAGTCAATCCACTGTATAGTATATTTCTGTGAAACTCTTTGAGACGTCTCAGCGACGTGATAAAGTACTATATCAAGGATTATTATTATTATTATTATTAATTTGAATCCATTCAGAGCCCTGAAACACCCTCCTGATCTTAGCCTTGATACCATCGGTCTTAAAATTTAAAATTGTGCAGAATTGTTGGAGAATTTTCTTAAAATTCATTCTTAATTGGGAAGTCAGATTTCCACAGTTCTTTTGAAGCTTCATTTTATAGGTAACAATTGCATTTTCTTCACATTATTGGGCTCAGTGACACTTAGAATTACTGAATAGTACAGCACAAAGTGGGCCATTCAGCCCCTCATGCCTGTTCAGGCTCTTTGAAAGAGCTACCAGCTAGTCCCACTCCCCCGCTCTTATCCCATAGCTCTACAAATTTACTTACAGTCCCCTTCTCCCATTTTTATGTTTTTGGTATATTATAAATACACGTTGTTGTTGTCAGTGTTACCACAAAAGTGGTTTAAAATAAATCAGCAAAGTGATGATACAGTAAACCTCACATAAGTCATATCAATTAGGACCGTACACTTAATAGGATTTTTGCAAAGTATGAGTTATGTCAAACTTGCAGAGAATATAAACTCTTGAACGGAACTTGGGCAGATGTACGATTTATACAGATCAGACTTCTGCGAGTTTTACTGTGCTTAAGTGGATCACATTTCTTGGTCACAAGAGTGAAGAATGTTTCACGTTTCTCTTGCTATTTCCTGAATGTTTTTTTGCAGGGTTGTGTGTGCACTAAGCGCAGGCAGTGGTACTTCCCAGGTTAAGATCTGGCTGACCAATAACAAAAATGGCACCTCCTCCACAAGCTTCACATACAGTGTGAGTACTCGCTTTCTCACTGTTTGCCTCGCTGATGGCTAAAGTGTTTTTTGCGGCGTATTCCTTTGGCTTTGTGTTTCTTTTTTACCTGATGAAAGATTATGGCTGCACGGTTTGTAAAGGGAAGTGATGTTATACAGTGGCGTGGTGGCTTTCAACTTCCCGAAGCTTTGGAAGTCTTTTAGCTTTATATCTATATATATATAAAAAAAGAAATCTGCACGCAGTTTATCTGTCAGGTTGCTCGTAATGAGATAGAATGATTATGCTCACCAAGTCGCGCACTAACAAAACCGCTCGCGGTTTGTCAGTATCGTGAGGAATGGTGACTTCAGATGGAGCTAATGATGTCTCGATGTTTGCAGGACCCTGAGCCGGTGTCCATTGATCCAAAATCTGGCCCAATCGCTGGAGGTACCCGAGTGACGATTACAGGGAAGCGTTTGAGGACTGGGAAGATGGAGGATGTCACAGTGCTATTGAGGGATATCCCCTGCGAAGTGTAAGCGTAACATTTCCTCATTCGTCCCAGCTGGCGAGAAGATGTAAAATAATCCTTGCATTTGACATAGCGCCTTATCACGTCTTCGAGACGTGTCAAAGCGCTTCACGGCATATACTGTTAAGTGAATTGACTGCATGTTTTTTGTGGGCGAAACCCAGCAGCCAATTGCACAGTAGCAGTCGTGGATTGAGTGACCCAATTATTATTTTTTTTGAAGGGGTTATTATCCCCAGAAAAGCCAAATCAACTGACAGCCGGTTTCTACTTACTGCCAGGTAAACATCGGCGTGTGGAGTAAGGAAACTTGCCTGGCCTGGGGTCCTCTCGCTTACATGACGAGTGCTCTAACCACTAAGCTACAAGGACTCCCATCGATCTTGGGAAAACAAAAGCACACACGCAAGCTCGATAGTTGTGTTGAATTCTCCTCTGCTTCTCCCTTCGCTTCTCCCCTTACCTGCCTCAGCACAGAGTAATGAGAGTGTGCAACAGACCCCCAGTCAGCACAATGTCAGCAAGTCATAATTATTAGCATCCTCCCCCTGCCCCAGCAATCATTCCTGTGAGTGTGGACGGTGACTATCAGCAGGCTACTTGACCATGGCTATCACAGCCAAAGCCTGATTCTCCTTGTCTTTAAAAAGAAATAACTAAATAATAATAATTTGCTCGCTCGATCCACGACAGTTTGCTGGGCACTGCTATGCACAATTGTCTGCTGCGTTTCACCTGCAAAATCTGAGGTCAATCCACTTGACTGTATATTCTGTGACGCCTCAGCGAGGTGATAATAATAAAAATAATCCTTGCATTTGATATAGCGCTTTTCACATCTTCTAGACGTCTTAAAGCACTTCACAGAATATACTGTAAAGTGAATTGACTGTATATATTTGTGGGTGAAACCTGGCAGCCAATTGCGCACAGCAGCGTCCCACAAATAGTCATGGATTGAAGTGACCAATTTATTATTGTTTTTTTTGAGGGATTATTATCAGTCGTGTGGAGTAAGGAAACTTGCCCAAGGTTTCACTCTGCCGGGAATCGAACCCGGGTCTCACTTGCAAAACGAGTGAGCTACAGGACTCCAGAGTGATAAGGCCCTGTATGAAATACGAGGATTATTATTATTGCCCCCTCCCATCAGGTGGGGGGGGGGGGGTGGGAATGGACTGATCAGTAAAGTGTGTATGAAGAGCGAGGGGGAGAGTGGGATAAGACGAGGTGGCTCGAGTGAGGAAAAATACCAGTGCAGATATTATGGTCAGAATGGCCTGTTTCAGATCTGTAACAATTTCAATGAAATTGGTGACCTTATAATGTCGTGCGTGTGTGTGCGTGTGTGTGTTTCCTCGCTTGTACTACGCTGGGGCTCTCCCAACCCAGCTTCAGTTCGGATGAAAGGTCATGTTAAGAGCATTAGCCTTGCCCGTCTCTTTCAGAGGTTGATGGGCCCGCTTGGGTACATTACTCCCTTTGTTTGGTTCCCAGCACCTGCCCTTTCCTCTTTCTTCCCCCTCCACCCCCCGCTTTTCACCCGTTACATTAAGAGGCTGGTGCGAGCAGACTGTTTTATGGGGCATTAGACCTGATGGTAATGGAGTGCGTGCGTCTGTTGTGGCACTTGAATGATGCCTTTTGATCTGTGCGCTGAACCATACAAAATTAGCAGCACAGAGTGGATGTACTCTACATTCAGTGGTTTGGGAAGCAATTCAGCAGGTTGATGAGGACTGAAAGCCTCTCAGATTTGTGCTTCATTAAAGAGTATATTTTTCGCCCGCAGAATACACAGTCAATACACTTTACAATATATTCTGTGCAGCGCTTTGAGACGTCTCAACGACGTGATAAGGCTCTGTATCAAATGTAAGGATTATTATTATTATTATTCATGTATTGCTGCTTTGTCTTGCTTCCTCTCCTAGTATCGTGCATCTCTTGGAAATTGGTAGAAGTTGACACCATTGCATTTTCCTCTGCACGTTTAGAAGGACCATTGTAAGAATTACCATCAAGATTCAAATGCCCCAACTTCTGTTGAGCTAACTGGTCTCATTTGGGGCAGCTACGCCGAGAAAGTCACATTGTGTTCCCACCCCATCAAGCGCTCTGGGTCACTACCCTGCGTGAGGGGCTCCCATATAAATGCAAGTTGTTGATGTGATCCCCGTTTGTTTTCACAATCCCAACGACAATAAATTGCATTTCATATATTCCCTCATTGGGACGTCTCCAAGCACTTCACAGGATATATATTGTAAAGCGTATCCACTGTGTATTTGTTGGCGAAACAATGCAGCCAATTGCCCACAGCATTGTCCCACAAACAGTCGCGGATTGAGTGATAAAAATTTGTTTTGAGGGATTATTACCCCTGGAAAGCGTTTCTGCCAATCGACTAACAACCAGGTTTCTACTTACTTACTAGGTAAACGGGTGTTTATAATAAGCACTGAAACCCTGAGGGATGCAAAATACACAATTGAACGGTGTCTTTAACTATTTCCTTCCCACAGCAAAGAATTTGGCGAAAAACTGGTCTGCGTCACAGGTCGTTACAAAGGCAACGACACCCCTATGATTGTATCCATTGTTGTCCGTTACGGGAAAAATGCAAACAAGAGGATAATTAATGAAAAGTTTACATACGTCAGCAATCCACAAATTAAAAACTTTGAGCCGCACAAAAGCTTCTCCAGGTAACGAACGCTCTTCTGCTTGCCCACTTTTCATTTATATAGCGCCCTTCACACGGGCCGGCGTTTCGGAGCACTTAACTGGCGGGGCCTAATGGCGAGCCAGGGGGAGGGAGGAGGTGACCGTAAGCACGGTCGACGAGGAAGGTCTTCAGTCGTAATCTAAATGAGGGGAAAGAGGGGGCAAGGGGCAGGGACTGGGGGAGAGAGTTCCGAAGTTTCGGGGCGTAGTGGCTGAATTCTAGTTTATGTTTATCATGAGGTTCTTTTATGCAATTTATTGTTAAAACCAAAGCTGAACATCACAGTGTGATTTAATACAGAATTGTGTGATTTATTTTCTTCGTAGAAAAGGTTTCACAATTTAGCAGTTCTGCTTCTGTCTTGACTTGAGATTCAGTGCTGTTATAAAACAATAATCCTTCCATTTGGTAGAATGCCTTTCACGTCGGGAGGACGTCTCAAGGCGCTTCACAGGATTTACTGTAGAGTGCGGTGACTATGGGTTTTGTGGGTGAATGCACAAAATATGCTCATGCTGAATAATTGGTTGTTACTTGATGCAGCGGTGGCAGAAATATCACTGTGACTGGAGAGGGATTTAACATCATACAAAAACAGATGATCGGAGTGGATGTACGGCCACTGGATCGGACATCAGTTGCCGAAAACAACCTTGTTCAACGGGAGGTGATGTTTCCTTCTTTCCTCTCTACAGTACAATGAGGCTTTGATGGAATATAAACACCAGCATGACTAGTTATAAAATAATAATCTTTGCCTTTGATACAGCGCCTTATCACGTCATCGAGACGTCTCAAAGCGCTTCACAGAATATACTGTAAAGCGAATTGACTGTATATTTTGCGGGCGATACAGGGCAGCCAATTCCGCACATACAATCGTGGATCGAGTGAGCAAATCTTTTATTATTTTTGAAGAAAAACATCTTCGTCTTGATAAACTAAGCAAAGGGAACACTGTGAAACTGGTTGTTTAAACAGCAAAGAGCAGTACAGTACCTATTACAAGCACTGCAACTCCCCTTTTCTTTTGTCTCTCTCTCTCTCTCGTTCGATTTTGAACCGCAGGCGTTTAGAGGTGGCTCAGACTCCGTGCTGGTTTTCCCCTCTCCTCCGCTGAAAGTGAACGTGTCCAAGTTCGAGATCGTCACCTTCGTCATGATGGACAACTATAAGAAAAATCTCACTGGCTTTACCTACGTGAACGATCCACAGATCACTGCATTCAAGGACGGAGTGTACATACACCGGCACTCAGCCGATCCAGAACAATCGCCCATCTTCGTTGTGGTAATATTGTTCGGCTGTCTGTACTTATTGGCGTCTTTAACTCCTGGTCCCCGGGCTTTCTTCAGCCTGCAAAAAAGCAAAATACTTCAGACGCTGGAAATCTGAAATAAAAACAGAAGTCGCTGGGAACACGCAGCAGCAGGACGAGCAGCATCTATGGAGAGAGGCCAACGAGTTAATGTTTCAGGTTGATGACTCGTGACGAAAGGTCACCGACCTGAACCGTTAACTCACTTTCCTCTCTCCATAAATGCCTGACCTGCTGCGGGTTCCCAGCGACTTCTATTTTTATTTCTGTAGCTGCGTTTCCGAGCTGTCTCTTTTGCTCATACCTCTCGCCCTCCTGTTGTTACGATGCCCAAGACTTGCACTGTGTGCCCAACCCAATACATGTGCCCGAGCTACATTGTAAGGGTTTATCGAAAGGTTCCTGTGTACAGTTCTCTCAGTCTCAATGCAGGAGGGATGTTGGTTGCAGCAATTGGGAGGATACAGAGGAGGACGACCGTGGGTTTCCTCATGTGTCAAGACACTGGGCCGGGCAAACAAAAATCAGCGGGAACATCAGTAAATAATCTGGGTACAGTTTTTCATAGTGCAAGTTTCTTCGAACTAGTGTGCTAGTGCTCCATGTTTGTTATTGTCACACTGAACTGATAAGAACCAAGATGGACCTTTAGACTAATTGGAAGGAACATATAATGTGATATGATATTTTAGTGGCTGAGTTTTCGGGTGATTTTTTTTTTCCCCCGGATTGTAACTCTCCGTTGTTTTCCACGTCAGGGGAGCAACCTGAACGCAGCGACTACAAGCAAAGAGGTAAAGGCGTTCATTGGTTCCGAAGAGTGCAAGATTAAAACACTGACCGAGACAGAGTTATACTGCATTGCTCCAAAAACACAGCCAGCTCCCCGGAGGCAGAGGAGGGACGTGAATGACAACCTCCCTGAATTTATTGTACGTACTTCCTATCTTCGTAGAATCATAGAATTGTACAGCACAGAAGGAGACCATTCGGCCCATTGCGTCTGTGCCGACTCTTTTAAAAGAGCTATCCAAATCATTCCCACTCCCCCGCTCTCTCCCCATAGCCCTGCAAACTTGTCCTCCCCAAATAATTATCTGCTTCTCTCTTAAAAATTGTTATCGAATCGGCTTCCACCACCCTTTCAGGCGATGCATCCAGATCCGAGCAACTCGCTGTGTGAAAATATTTCTCCTCACCTCCCCTCTGTTTCTTTTAACAACTATCTTAAATCGGTGTCCTCGGGTTACCGACCCACCCGCCAGTGGAAATAGTTTCTCCTTGTTCACCCTATCGAATCCCCTCACAACTTTGAAAACTTCTAATAAGTCTCCTCTTAACCTTCTCTGCTCCAAGGAGAATAATCCTAGCTTCCCTATCCTTTTACCTCAGTTCATTTGTGGAGTCCTGTAGTGTATTGGAGCACTCGTCTTGTAAGCGAGAGGACCCGGGTTCGAATCCCGGGCAGGGCGAAACGTTTCCCCACTCCACACGCCTCTGTTTACCTTGCAGTAAACAGCAACCCGGTTGTTACTTGCATAGAAATAGCTTTACTTTGACAAATGCAAAATGCAAGGATTATTGTTCTTTTAAGAATGTCCTTCAGGCTAAGAGAGGAGAAATGTTGGGACTCTAGATGTTCTGCAACCTAGCTTCACCTTTTCCTGTTCTTATCAGGTGGAAATTGGATTCCGTAAGTGGAGCCTTGGAAAAGTGAAGTATGAAACGCCTGCACAAGTGCAACTGGGTGTTATTCTGCCCCTGGTTCTGATTCCCATGTTGCTGATTATTGGCGTCTCCCTTTACTGTTACAGGTACGCGGAATTATTTATAAAAAAATTTAAAATGTCTGTTTGTAGGCGTGTTTTCAAGCGCTCTGGGACGCTACCCTGCGTGAGGGGGCGCTGTATAAACACAAGTTGTCGTTGGGATGCCCAAATGTCTGCGGTCACAGTGGCCCACTTGTACATTGTTTTGTTTTAGGCGCAAGAGCCAACAGGCAGAGAGGGAGTACAAGAAGATTCAGCTACAGTTGGAGAGCCTCGAGGAAAGTGTGAGAGACCGTTGCAAGAAAGAGTTCACAGGTAAAAATGACCTGATCAGTATTGGGCGAGGTGACAGTATTATCAGGTGGAAAGTAAATATTTCTAATCAGCGCGATCGAACCTGATCAATACTGAGGGGAATATGCAGCCCCTCGAGCCCGTTCCGCTATTCTACTATGGCTGATTTGTACCTCAACCTCAATTACCCGCCTTTGCCCCATATGCCTTGATACCCTGACCTAACAAATATCTATCCTCCTCAGTCTTGAAAATTTGAATGGATCCAACATCCACAGTCTTTTGTCGGGGGTAGAGAGTTCCAGATTTCCAGTACAATGAATGGTTCATTCAGGGTCGCTGTAAATTCAATGTCGCAACCACGTTTCTTTTAAGGGAGCGAGGAGTGGGGGGGTTGTTGTTATTCCAAGCCATTGGAACTGCCTTAAACGGTAATAATTATCAAGCAGCATTTTCTCCTCCTGCTTCCCCTTCACTCGTAGTTTTCCAATAAATAGCCATCCCACAAATAAATAGTTTCGCCCACAAAGTATACAGTCAATTCACTTTACGGTATATTATGTGAAGCGCTTTGAGACGTCTCGAAGATGTGATAAGATGCTATATCGAATGCAAGGATTATTATTATTATCCCTCAAAACCTACATTATGTATTGTGTGCGGTTAACTTTCAGACCTGGTGACTGAAATGGACGATCACTTGAACGATGTGAATGATGTGGGAATCCCGTTCCTGGATTATAAGACCTACACCGACCGAGTCTTTTTCCTCCCCTCAAAGGATGGAGAAAAGGACGTCATGATAACTGGGAAACTAGACATCCCCCCAGCGAGGCAGCAGACAGTGGAGCAGGCTCTATACCAGTTCTCAAACTTGCTCAACAGCAAATCCTTCTTGATTCATGTAAGTCTTTGACCAGAGAGAAGCTCAATGAGCTTCGTTCGATGCAGAGAATTGCCAAAGGTTTTGGTGCAGTGACTGAACTTCACGTACTCAGCTCCCGTGCTGCTTCAAGACAGATATTAAAGTTGGTTTGCAACATCAGTAGGTAAACTACTTGGGGTGGGGAGGAACTATTAATGTGAGAAGGCTGTGTCCCCAAGCCTTAGCTCTTGCCTATCTGTGACTAATACATTCTGCCATTAGGTCAGTGACATATTGCACGCTCCATTTCAGACACAGAGTTATTTCCATGTGTAGGTGGCATACACATGTGGAAACTCTTATCTGGCCTGGATGGTGATGGATTTCCGCAGGCGTCAAACACCAGCTGATCAAAACAACAACAAGATTGCATTTATAGAGCGCCTTTCACGTCGGGAGGACGTCCCAAGGCGCCGGACAGTTGGGTCGGGACCCGAGCAGGGGGGAAATGGTCAGGGTGAGGGGAGGGAGCGAGGAGGGGGTAGAGAGTTGAGAGGGGAGCTGAAGGCACGGTTGAAGAGAAAGGTCGTGAGACCGGCCTTGAAGGAGGAAAGGGAGGAAGCGGCGAAGGCACTGGGGGATAGAGTTCCAGAGCCTCGGGGCTGAGAGGCTGAAGGCCCGGCCACCAATGGTAGGGCAGTTAGGGCGGGGGATGTGGAGCAGACCGGAGCCAGAGGAACGGAGGGTACGAGCAGGTAAGTAGGGGGATAGTAGGTCGAAGAGGTAGGAGGGAGCAAGGCCGTGAATGGCCTTGTAGGTGAGGATGAGGATCTTGAAATCGATCCTCTGGGGGATGGGGAGCCAGTGGAGGCGAGCGAGGGTGGGAGTGATGTGGTCGCGGTGTCTGGTGCGGGACAGTACACGAGCTGCAGAGTTCTGAATGACCTGCAGTGTGGAGGGAGGGCCGGGAAGGCCGACGAAGAGAGAGTTCCCGTAGTCCAGCCTTGAGGTGATAAAGGCGTGGACCAGAGTTTCAGCAGCGTGAGGGGTGAGGTAGTGCCGTAGTCTGGCGATGTTGCAAAAACGAAATAGAGGAATAATTGCATTGGCGCCTTTTAACTAAGGGAGTCCTGGGGTGAAAAATGAGATGATTCTGATGGATTGACTTCAGATCTGTCAAACATTGCAATGTCAGATGAAAATCAACAACTTTGGCTTAATGGTTTAGCTCAAAGCTGACGTTCATCTTTGGTCTCGATGTAGCAGCCTCCAACCAATTTTTGTTTCCGGTCGTGGGGAATTGTGTTTCACAGAATAATGCTCTTGCTCGGAGCTGAGCGAGACTGGTGACCCTATGAAGCCACAATGAAACGTGTCTTCAATTCCAATGTTACTTAACTGTTTCAGTGAAATTACATCACACGGAATCTGTTATGAATCCTCACTGGGGTTCCTGAGCCTTGGCTCTTACCAACCAGCGCCTAATACTTTCCAGAGTTAAGAATGTAGGATGTATCCCCCCAGGGAGAGAGCGCGCATTCCATTCCAACAATCTTATCTCTGGGATTCCCATGTGTAGGTGGGATTCATTGGAATTCTCTGTCTGGTTTGGATACTCTTAAGCACGGTGATGGGTTTCTGCATGTGTCAAGACGCCCAGCTGGCAAAAAAAAATTAGAAAAACAAAATCAGTCATCGTGTTTTTCATCCCATTGTTTCAGCAATGAACTGTGTGTTGCTTCCGGAACAAAACACTCAGTGATTTTCACTTGGCAATTTCAATGAATCATCCCTTAAAAAAAACACAAAGGAACTCGAGTGCATTAAATCATGAGAACATAGGAACAGGAGTAGGCCATTCAGCCCCTCGAGCCTGTCCCGCCTTCTATTAGATCATGGCTGATCTGGACCTCAACTCCAATCCACCCACATTGGGTGGATGATGATTCAACTCACAACCATCTACATGATCATTGTCAGTGCTGAGTTTTGCTAGTAATGGCTCTTGGTGGATCTGAATGCTATGGAAGATATCGCCTGGAATTCCTTCTCAATACCACGCTGGCTTTTTGAACTAACAACCAAGATAAGGATGAATGGGAGTGCTGCCTCATGCTCCGGCATTGTTACTCAGCCTTCTTTGATCCAGTGTTAACTAAGTCCAACTTGACTTGTTTTAACTTCCAGTTTATCCACACACTGGAAGGTCAGAGGGACTTCTCTGCCCGGGAGAAGGTTTACTTTGCGTCTCTGCTGACCGTTGCTCTTCACGGAAAGCTGGAATACTACACGGACATCTTGAGGACTCTACTGTTGGAGCTCATGGCCCAGTATGTGGCTAAAAACCCCAAACTCATGCTCAGAAGGTGCGTCTCCTGGTTACAAATCAAGAAGAAACCAAAGATTTTTTTAATCTAATTTCCCCTTCAATTCTTTTAAATTCGTCCTTTTTATTTACTCGTCCACTAGTGATAATGATTTGTTCTTTCACAGCCCTTTAAAATTTTGAAGACCTCTATCAGGTCACCCCTTAACCTTTAGAGTCCTGTAGCGTATTGGATAGAGCATTCGCCTCTCAAGCGAGAGGACCTGGGTTCGATTCCCGGGCCAGGGCGAAACCTTAGGGCAAATTTCCTTACTCCGCGCGCCTCTGTTTTCCTAGCAATATTTCGCTTGTTAGTTGCTTGGCAGATCACTTTCCTGGGGGTAATAATCCCTCCCAAAAAATAATAACAATAATAAATAAATAATAATTTGGTCACTCAATTTCACAACTGTTTGTGAGACACTGCTGTGCCAGTCGACTGCTGCATTTCGACTACAAGTCAATTCACTTTACAGTATATTCTGTGAAGCGCTTTGAGACGTCTAGAAGATGTGAAAAGCGCTACATCAAATGCAAGGATGATTTTTATTATTATTAATCTCCTCAGACAGGATGGAGAAAACCCTAATTTCTCAAGTCTAACCAAATCTCTTCATACATCTGCATATTAACCACTCATTCCTCATAATACTTTACATCTTTCTCTTTGTTGTGATACAATTTGCAATGCATTTATACATAGCGCCTTTCACTTCAGGATGAAGTGATGGGGGGGGAAGTAAATGAAATAGAAATGTAAATTTTCTTTTATTTAAAAAAAAGCGGAAATAAAAATGAATGAAATTGCTGAATCTCCTTTTCTTTCCCGTATTTTTGCTTCTCAGATCAGAAACCGTTGTGGAGAGAATGCTTTCCAACTGGATGTCCATCTGTCTGTACCAGTTTCTAAAGGTACCTGGCAAACACACTGTTGCCCATTCATTACCCATAGAGGTTCAAATTCCCTCCGGGGGGAGGGCTTGGAGCTGAGCTGCTTCCCAAGGTTACGTGCTCGGCAACAGAATCGAGTCCACCTTCTGTGGCAGTCATCCAAAAATGATACATTTATTTCAGCCAGGCGGGTCCGCAGTTCCCCAGGGCACTGCTGATGACAGACCAGCCAACCCAGTTCATCAGCATGACTTACAGGGGCAGGGAATCCTCCCACTCAGCTCCTGTTAACCCTGCAAGCCAAAGCCATGACACACGAGGGCCGTCCTCGCTGGACAAGCAGTGTGATACTTGACAGGTAGAGCTCTCAATGGTAAACTGCAGTTTGGGCTGGTTGAACTTTAGCCGTACCCCAAACGCACACCCTGGGGTCCCCGAGTCTCTTCCTAACCTGCACCTAATACTCTCCAAAGGAGAGAGTGCACACTGTGTTCCAAACACGGGGACATTTCCATATGTAGTTGGCACACGTGAGGGTGGCATATACAAGTCAAACTCATTTGGTTTGGATACTCTTAAGCATGGTGATGGGTTTCTGCACGTGTCAGACACTCAAAAGAGTTTAAGATTGTCTCAAAAAGCTGAAGTGTGTATTTTTTTGGACAAATCTAGGATTCGGCTGGTGAACCACTTTACAGACTGTTTAAGGGGCTCAAGCACCAGGTAGAGAAAGGCCCAGTGGACGCAGAACTGAAAAAAGCCAAATACACCCTGAACGACACTGGACTCTTGGGAGATGATGTGGAGTATAACCCACTGGTGAGCCCCACACAACTTCATTCATGTATCAGAATCATCAACGGTTTACTAGAAAACGATTCAGAAGCTTTGAAGCCGAACTGCTGACTCTCCAATACCCTACCGTTGCCTCCCCTTGACTGGCTCTGGCCGGCCTCCTGCTTGTCACTCGTGCCCTCCGTTCCACCACGGGTGGCCGCACTTTCAACCAGTACCCCCAAAACTTTGGAACGTCTCCCTCAATCCCTCTGCTTTGCCCCTCCTTCCATATCTTCAGCTCGTGCCTGAAGACCTTCCTCTTCGGCTGTGCTAACCGTCACCTCCCCCTCCCCGGCTCAGCATCGTGCTCTGCCATTGCTCTCCCAGTCCTCTGGGATGCTACCCTGTGTGAGAGGCGCTGTATAAATGCTATTATAGTTGTTCATTATTTGCTGTTGTGATCCTTACCTACTGAATTAGTACTTTACATAATAACCTTGGAGCACGTTAATATTTGGGCGTGAACTGTACAGTTACAGTGGGGATGAAAAGTGTGATATTTTTGCAGCAAATTGGATGTGTAAAATCATCACATTGAATCTATTAAGAAACAGTGGAATTTTAGGCCATAGTTATCAACTGGTTTCAGGTCTAACATCATTTTCCCCCCTCCCCAAACTTCAGTGTAATATATTTATTGGTAGTTCGCCTACAAACTATACAGTCAATTCACTTTACAATATATTCTGCGAAGCATTTTGAGATGTCTCAACAACATGATAAGGCCTTGTATAAAAATGCAATGATTATTATTTTAATATTTACCCTTTAAGGTTTCCCTCACCACTGAGAACATTGTATTATTTGGGGCTCAAAATAGCATTATGGCTTAACCCTCCCGGGTCAATGGAATCAACACTCAAATTGCTCTGCCAAATGAGGTGGTAAAAGTAGAGCTCATTGTGGCTTTCAATGGGAAGTGGACAACTACACAAAAGAAAAGGACTTTGAAGAGATAATGAGATAAAGTAGGGCAATGGAATTGAATGGACAAATTGCTCTGAGAGCCTGTGCAGACTCAATGGGCTGAACAGCCTCTTTCTACGCTGATAATGTCTTTGATTATGAATAGTGTTTTTGGAGAGGGTGGGGGGGGAGAGACGTCTCAAAGAGCTTTACTGTAAAGTGAATTGACTGTGTATTTTGTGGGTGAAACAAATTTAAAGAATTAGCATGTTGAATCCCTTTAGGAAATGTCGCATTTTTCTCCTTCCAACATTGAAACTATAGTCATCTTGACTTGGGAACATTCAAAGCACCAAAAGTGAGGCAGACAAGGCAATGAAACAGATGCTGCTATTTGTGGAAATGTGTGCGGCTAATAATAACAATAATAATCCTTGCATTTAACATAGCACCTTATCACGTCTTCGAGACATCTCAAAGCGTTTCACAGAAAATGCTGTAAAGCGAATTGACTGTATATTTTGTGGGCGAACCAATGATGTTGTGTACTTTTCATCTCTGGCAGATCGTAAATGTAACTATTCAAGGGGAGGCTGGAGAACCCACACCAGTAAAGGTACTGAACTGTGACAGCATCACTCAAGTCAAAGAGAAAATCCTCGACCAGGTCTACAGAAATGTTCCTTTTTCATTGAGGCCTAAACTGGACAGTGTTGTTCTGGGTGAGTCTGAGGCTGTTAACTGCTCTGATAAAAAGTGAAAGAGCGAGTGTCCAGTGTTGCAACTCAGCACTTTTTAAGGTTACAATTCTTCCTCTACATTTTAAGATTAACCTTGGAGTAACATTTGAGTGCATTCAACTGAACCCCAAACCAGCTCCATCACTTCCCTTTTCTGCTTCGGGTCTATTGACCCGGTTGACTAAAAGCTGTGTTTTAACTGCAAAAGGGATTGTTTCTTCTCTAGTGTGTTGAGAACAATACACAAGACTTTTGGTTGCTCTCAGCTCCACTTTAAAGGCATGGTTCATTGGGGCCTTACAATGATACAATAGCCCTGGGTTCTTAGTTTGAAGTAAACCAGTTAGGAGGAGAATGCATCAATGGAAATGAGTGAAACGCGCATTAAAACAGATAAAAGCACTAGAGTTATAAAAGCAGGTAATAAAGGATAATCGGGTTAGCAATAAAATGAGCTGTCATAGTACGAGAGGGAGGACCTTCGGAACATCAAATGGTTCTTTCTTATGTTCTTCTGAATCACATTATAACACAGTATAATTTTTACAGTGTCCTAAAGTGAGCAGGGTGAAGCCTTGCGGCTTTGCATGTTACATATTAGGAGTTCAGGGCGTGTGTGTGTGTGTTGGGTGAGAACAAGATCAGACTTAGTTGTGGCAAACCCAAATGATGAGTAACCTTCCAGCACCAAGAATGGGCACTTAGATAAGATATTAGATAAGGGAAGGCGGTTTGTGCATCTAGAACTGAAGCCCACAAGAGTCGGTGGCATCAGGAGAGGAAGGGAATACGGACTCTGATGTGCCCTCACAGGAGGTAGAAAAGATGAGAGACTACAATTAGTCCTTGTGGTTCGGCAGCTCGTGTCTAAATGATGAGAGGAGGACGTTGACGTGTTTGGATTTACTCCACAGAATGGCGTCCAGGCTCCACTGGTCAGATCCTCTCGGATCTGGATGTCACCTCGGAGCGAGAAGGAAAATGGAGGCGTTTAAACACACTGAAGCACTATAACGTGAGTGTATCCGTCTACTGCTCTGTTTTATTTCGTGCATCAGAAACGGTAGCCGATTTGGACTTAGTGAGGGGGCCTTTCGTTTCACTGTTGATAAAATATTGACATTTATGGGGAGAAAGCATATTAAATCTCCTTCACCCGCTCCTCCCAACGACTGAGTTTCTAAATAAAGCCACTTGTCCAGTGTGAAACTGAATCCTGAATCCAGAAGGCCAAAGTTGGGAGTGCCCAGTCTGTGCTCGCTGTTAGATAATAATAATAATCCTTGCATTTGATAGAGTGCCTTATTGCGTCGTTGAGACGTCTCAAAGCGCTTCACAGAATATACTGTAAAGTGCAGTGACTGTGTATTTTGTGAGCGAAAACTTGTGAGATACATAAGGTGACGAAAGATAAGGTGACAACAGGGAGGTTGCAAATCTTCCTGTGCCTCCTGGCTAATTCCTGCTAGAAAGCATGTGAGTTGATATCATGTGAGGATAGAATCAATGTGGGCTCTGATTCTCGCATGATCTCATGGTCGAATTATCTGCTGATACTCCCAGCAAATGATGAGTGAGTCACTTGAGTGAGGTGCCAATAAGATGGTCTAAAACCCAGCCTGAGTTCAACACTGTCAGGATAAACCGAGGGGAAAATTGGGAGGGGAGAGAGATTAAAGAGGGAGACTGTTCGTCTGACTGGGGAGAGCGTGCAATAGAACATCTTCAATACATTGATTTGCCCTGGTCATGCTCTTTACAGCACAATGAGGCAATGCAAATCAAATTACTTTCTCTGTCTATTGCCAAGCAAATTAAAAGGGCTTACAGGGACAGTGTGCTGTTAAATAATATGGTCCTACGTATCCTCTGGGTAAAGCACAGTAAACCTCTTAACTTGATCAGCCTCAACAATGTGGAGCTTCATTAATCAACTTACAGGACAGAAATTATTGGATCTCCATATTCTGCTGGGAGCTGGTCTCCTGGACGCAAAAGGCTTTTATTAAACGGAAAGAAAAGAACAAATCCTAGTAAATTTGCTTGCCACGTTTTCTAGACTTCACTCCAACCTGTCGAATTGAATGATGAGCTAAGTTATATTGCGAGTTTCAACTTACACAGAAAGACTTGGGTGATGTACATGGCACTTAGCTTTGTATGGGATACTTATAACAAGTGTATCCCTTGACCCTTACGGTATTCTCAGGTCCAAAGAATTTGTTTTTAGTCAACCAGGTGGATGTCTGACAAATGCAGAAACCCAAGGATTGGGGACCCCAGAGCGTGCGTTGGGCGTAACTGCTGGAGTCTAACCAGCTAAAACAGCATAGAAATGGCAATCATCCGAGGGCAAATAAAGTCTAGGAGAGAAAATAAGTAAGAGGCACATTACCATCAGTCCAGGGCGTTTAAAAATTAAAGAAGAAAGAAAGCACTTGCATTTTTATGCCTCTTTTATCGCATTGAAATGTTTCAAAGCACGTCACAGGTAATTAAGTGTCGTGAATGTTTCAAAGCAAAGCTGTTTTTAAAAGGTTTTATGTGATGGAGACGGAGGTCACCTTATCAATGTTGATGCCACGTGGCTTGCAAACCTCTTCACGATTTAGTGTCACGAGTAGGGCAGCATAATCAAATCCACGGCTCTTACACTGCACTATAAACAGAGACTGAACCTGAAAGTAGTCTTGGATCACTGCCAGCTTTGGAGAATAAATAGGGTTTGACCTTAAATTACTTTACAACACAGCTGCAGTGTCTTGAATCTTTTTTTTGAATAAATAGCTATTAAAAGAAGTTGTCACTAGTTTTAATAATTGAAACCAATTCTTCAGAACAAGAATGAGATTGACCTGCGTGACTAATGCAGCTACAATACATTAACACAAGATACAAGGCAGTACTTTCCTTCACGTGTCATTAAAAAAAAACCACGACTGGTTTGCGGGACACTGCTTTGCGCACAATTGGCTGCCGCGTTTCACCCACAAAATGTACAGTCAATTCACTTTACAGTGTATGCTGTGAAGCGGTTTGAGACGTCTCAACAACCTGATAAGGTGCTATATCAAATGCAAGGATTATTACCATTATTAGTATTATTACAGTAGGGTGATTCTATGAATGCGGGACTAGGCTGACATGTACTCCGCATGAAGGGCACTGTATAAATGAAAATTCTTGTTGTTGTTCTCTGCTGACAGCACTGCAGAATCTCAATGGTACATGTCGCTGCTTGTTTTTCCTCCCCAATCAACCAGCTGGAAGGTGGTGTCAGTTCCCTGACAATAGTTGCCTAGCATTCGCATTCAGCTGCTGACACAATGAAAACAATTCAATTTCCAGCCTCCAGGACGAGAAGCAACACACTGAGTGTTTTTGTTCCTCATGCTTAACGTCTGATGTCATTGAACGCTTTTAGTTCCAGGCACTCCTATTTTTGGCATCCGTCACTATGCCCCCCTACCTCTGGAACTCCCTGCCTTTATCCCGCCACCTCACCTCCTCTCTTTCCATCTAATTCTATATAATAATCCTTGCATTTGATATAGCGCCTCATCACGGCATTGAGACGTCTTAAAGGGGTTCACAGGATATACTGTAAAGTGGTTTGGCTGTGTATGTTTGGGCAAAATACTGTTTGAGTGAGTTTGAGTTTCTCTCCATCTTAAAATCAACCTCTTCGATCACTCCTATGGTCACCTTTCTCTTCCTCCTTGCTTGGCCCCAACCTTGCCACTATGAAGTACTCTTAACATTACTCCACGTTGAGGGCACTGTATAAATTCATGTTGCTGTTAGCTGCTCCACTCCCAAACTACACACCACATGTTGCACGTTTGCCAGTTGACATACGTACCATTGCATACAGATGCCAGAGAGGTGCAATGCTTTGCCTATTATTAGAAGAGGGAATTGGATAGGTACTTGAAAAGGAAACATTTGCAGGGCTATGGGTTAAGAGTGCGGGAGTGGGACTAATTGGATAGCTCTTTCAAAGAGCCGGCAGAGGCACGTTGGGCCGAATGGCCTCCTTCTGTGCTGTAGGATTCTATGATTCTATTCTATGAAGAGTTAGGTTGAAATCGGGGAGAGGTAAAGCATTCTGAGGCAATTTTGTGCGATCAGAATCCAAGAGAAGTGTAGTTTCATTCTCTCTTGCGACTCTTGACATGATCATTGTCAGCGCAGACAGAGGCCATGTCAAATATATGAAGACCATTCTGATACTAAACGCAGCATACGTCTAGTAGCATTCCAATACCTCAGGTCTTTAATTCAGGTTTGTGTTACGGAGGGACCTGCCATTCTGATGATGAGTATCCAACAATCAGTTAAACAAACAGGTTTTCAGAGATTAAACCATGAGTAACAAGTCTGACTCGGGCTCGAGAGCAGATTGTTTGAGATTGCTTGGGTGCTGCTTAATCACTGAATAAGCTGAGCAATTGGAGAGATTGTTGTCGGATAAACTGCAGTTGACAGATAATGACAGATAACTCTTCTTATGTTCTTACAGGTCCGGGATTACTCATCCCTCATCTTAGTCAAGTCGTCACATTCTCAGCAGCCAGATGACCACCAGCAGATTATCTACGGAGAAAGTTAGTAACAACTTGTTGCTGTCTGCTAACCAGTGCAGAGGACAGGCTGGGTGCTAACCAACAGCAACAACTTATATTTACACAGCGCCTTTCATGTCGGGAGGACGTCCCAAAGCGCTGGACATTCAGGGATTCGGATCTGAGCTGGGGGTTGAGATCTGGAGGAGTGAAGGGCAGGGAGGGTCGGAGTAGGAGGGTGACCCAAGGCGTGGTCGAAGATGAGGGTCTTGAAGGAGACAAGGGAGGGGGCTAAGCAAAGGGACTGTGGGATGGAGTTCCAAAGGGTGTGGGCAGAGAGGCTGAGGGCCAGACCACCAATGGTGGGGCAGGCCGGACAGGGGACATGGAGCAGGTCGGAGCCCCGAAGCTGAAGGAGCGGACAGGTCTATATGGAGATAGACTGTATTGGGAGATAAACCAATGCAGAGGGGAGACTGTATGCTAACCAACTCAGAATAGAGGCAGTGGATAAAGTCTCGATACGGTTTAGCAAAGCAAGGAGCTCACAAACGTGCTGGAACGAGTATTCTTTTTATTTGTTTGTTACAGAAAGTGGGCTTTTAGAAGAAGACAACAAGCGATGGCATTTGGTCCGGCCGATGGACGAGGTGGATGAGGGCAAGTCGAAGAGAGGCAGCGTGAAAGAAAAAGAGAGGACGAAAGCCATCACCGAAATCTACTTGACGAGGCTTCTGTCTGTAAAGGTAAGGTTCCCTCCCAAAGCCATTGCTTACAAGTGAATCATATGCAAGCGGAGCAGATGCAATGATCTTAACAACAACAATAATAATCCTTTTGAGGTTGCACCTTTCACGTCGGCCAGACAAGTCAAAGTGCTTCGCAGGATATACTGTAAAGCAGAGTGACTGTATTTTTGAGGGCAAACGTCGCAGCCAATTTGCGCCCGGCAATGTCCCACAAACAGCCATGAAGTGATATGTAAAATAGGAGTATTCGGCCCGTTGACTTTATTCTGCCATGTTATTAGATCACAGCAGATCATTTAATCCCTTGATTTTTCTCCATATATCTCCTTAATCCCCTTGCTTTCCAAATGTATATTGTATATGTGCATCCATGACTGTTTGTGGGACACTGCTGTGCGCAATTGGCTGACGCATTTCGCCCACAAAATACAGTCAATCTACTTTGCAATATATTCTGTGAAGCGTTTTGAGATGTCTCATTGACGTGATAAGGCGCGATATCAAATGCGAGGATTATTAATATCTCTCCTATCTCGTCTCAACTGATTCTATATATCCATGGTCTAATTAAGGAGGGGAGCTACAAGGTTAGTCATAACTTCTGTGCACTTATGCAACATGATTTTGCAGTTGAGAGATCTCACTGGGGGGGTGGTGGCACAGCTCATTGTGGCTGTTGGTTTCAAGTCCTTACATTTCATGGTCGAAATCCTTGTCTGATTCCAGGGAATCATCACCTCTCTCTGCTTGCCAGAAAGACGAGTCTGTACAAAATCTATCTTAATTCCTCAACAAACAGAGTATAACTTATTACTGTCAAAGATGGAAACGTTCCAGTGGTCGAGCGTCCACATGCCTCCCCTTAGCAAGCGCTGGATAGTGCGTGCTCAGGCGATGACGTGTGCAATGCCGCCTCCTGTATTGTTGTCTCTGTGTTATAGCACAGGAGTGAAACATGCTCAGCCTGGCTCAGTCAGCAGCACTCTCACCTCTGAGTCAGAAGTTGTGGCTTCAAGCCCCAAGTCGGGAGTTTGAACTCCCATCTTGGCCGGCACTCCATTACAGTGCTGGGTGGAGTTCTGTAATGTCCATACTTCGGACGAGACGTTAAAACCGAGGTTGGGTCTGCCTGAGAGATGTTAAAGACCCTGTGTTATAGGATCACAGTTTGAGAAAAGACGAGGGAGATTCTTCCAACCAATTCGTCATTCACTCCATGGCTAGTTGTGGGAGATTGCTGTGCGCAAATGGCTGCCGCATTTCGCCTACAAAATACACTTAACAGTGAATCCTGGGAAGCATTTTGAGATATCCTTCTGATGTCAAATACAACGGGTTATGGTTATTATTAGTATACTCGGTGCTTCGAGTATAAAATCAATCCTTTAAGATCGTTTATATAATGGCCTCTTATTATGCTGTGTACTTCATTCTTGACCTTTCCAACACTCGGTCAACAGTTCCCAACTACAGCGTCTCCAGGGATTTTGTTGACGGCTCAGAGTGTGAAGTTTTATATGGTTTCAAGTAGAGCAAACTGTTCGTTTTCATGGACACCCTTAGAGTAGTGGTTAGAGCACTTGCCTTGTAAGCGAGAGGACCCAGGTTTGATTACCAGGCAGAGCAAAACATTAGACAAGTATCCTTACTCCACACGCCTCTGTTTACCTAGCAGTAAGTAGGAGCCCGGTTGTTAGTCGATTGGCAGATCGCTTTCCGGGGGTAATAATACCTCTTTCCCCCCCCCCCCCAACTTAAATAAATTGGTCACTCAACCACGACTATTTATTGGACATTGCTGTGTACAATTGTCTAGCGTGGTTCGCCCACAAAACATACAATCAATTCACTGTACAATACAGTCTGTGAAGCGCTTTGAGACGCTGGACGACGTGATAAAGTGCTATTTCAAATTCAAGGATATTATCATCATTATTAATCTTATTGTTACAATATCTCCACGTGTGGCTGCCATGAATCGGGGGGGGGGGGGGGTGTCCGCTGTGAGCTTGGGGAGTGATGTGTATGCCTGACGCAGAGCTTGAACGCAGCGTTGTTCCACTTTCAATCTTGGTTGGGCTGTGGGCATTTTATCTTGATTTTACAAAGCCAGGACCTTAACAGCTTTTGATTTTTTCATCACAATCTGAAACAGGGTACGCTGCAGCAATTTGTAGATAATTTCTTCCAAAGTGTTCTGAGCACGAATCAGGACATCACCCCAGCTGTGAAGTACTTCTTTGACTTCCTGGATGAGCAGGCGCATAAACACGATATAGTAGACGATGAAACCATTCACATCTGGAAAACGAACAGGTAGGAAGGACGGGCCTTGTTTTTATATTTTTCTGAATATATATATATATACATGTATATTTTTAATTTTATATTTTTTTGTGTATGCCTGCCGTGTGATCACCTTATCAGAACAGAGGCAATCCACCTAATAAGTAAGCTGACTATTTTCTGGTCTGGTTCGCTCCTCTCCTAAAGGTACTGAGGTGAGGCTCCATAGGCACTGGCTGACCTCTCGTATCTCACCCAAGTACTAACTGCTCATGTGGAAACACAGACAAGGTCTGTCCGCAGGCCTTTCAACAGAGGGAGGAAGTGGGATGGAGTTGATTCACATTCAAGCCTTATCCTGTCCTCGTATGACATCCAAGTGCACGCACCTTGCACCAATAATGATCAGGAGATTCCATACTGGCTGTGTGGATCCCCTTCCGAGACAGAGCGGTAGCACTCTCACCTCTTGAGTCAGAAGGTTGTGGGTTCAAGCCCCCATGTTAGGACTTTGAACTTACAGTGTAGGCTGTCACTCCAGTGTGATATTGGGGGTGTCAATGATCTGCAAACCATATTAAATGATAGCTCCACAAACTACAACTGATTCAGAACTTTACCAGCCGTATTGTCACCCACACTAAACTCCGTACCCCCATCATACCAGTCCTCGCCAGGCTCCCACTGGCTCCCCATCACAGAACGGATCGATTTCAGGATCCTCACTCTTGTCTACAAATTCCTTCACGCCCTGGCACCTTCCTACCTTTCTGACCCCTGCTCTCCCCACTCTACTACCCACTGCCTCAGCTCAGCCGGGTCTGGCCTCCTGCTTATCCCTCATCGTCTCCGCTCCACCATCGGCGACCGTACCATCAGCCAGTACGCCCCTATGGAACTCTCCCCGCATTCCCTCCTCCTTGCCCCCTTTCTTGCCCTCAATCATATCACAACTGAAGACCTTCCTCTTCGATCGTGCTCACCGTCACCTCACCTCTTCCCCCCAACTCAGGGTCAGTGTACGCCCACCACTGTTAAGTGCTCCGAGACTCTGCCCCGTGTGAAGACCGCTAGATAAATACAAGCTGTTGTTGTTAAATGTATGGATTTAGTGATCATTGCATTGTCTGCTCCACAATATCTGTTACTGAGAGATCTGCTGGTTCTGTTTTGCAGTTTGACGCTCAGGTTCTGGGTCAACATACTGAAAAATCCACATTTCATATTCGACGTGAAAGTCAATGAAGTGGTGGACGCCTCGTTATCTGTGATTGCACAAACCTTCATGGACGCATGTACAAAGTCAGAACACAAGCTGAGCAGAGTGAGTATCACAAGGTGGACATCGTAATCTCTAAATCCGACGGCTTCAAGATATATTTTTAACACACGACTTGTTTGTGGGACACTTCTGTGGGCAATTGGCTCTTGTGTTTCACCCACAAAATATACAGTCAATTCACTTCGCAGCATATTTCTGGGAAGCACTTTAAGAGGTCTCATCTCAATAATTATTTCATATATAACGCTATATCAAATGCAAGGATTATTATTAATCATTCACAAGACTGGTTTGGATGAAGAAGGCCCTTCAGCAAGCCAATCACATCCTTCCATAATTCCCATCCCACCGTTCTCCCAGCACAGAATCAATCTGATTTTTAAATGAGTCCATCCTGACCTCAAACAACCTTCCTAGTAATTCTGGGTAAAGAAATACTTCCAAGTGTCTGACCTGAAATTGCTCAATGTCATCTTATTCTACTGTCTTAAGCGCACCAGAAGGTATTGTACTGGATTTCCTTTCTCAGTCCTATTTAAAATCTTCTATACCTCCATAAGATCCCCTCTTGAGTCATCCCCTTTCAAGACTGATTGAGTAAGAGTGTTGACTTTTGTTCTTTCAAAAGCACTGAATAGTTCAGACAGCTATGAACTGCCATGCAACTACCAAATACTTGAGCAACGACCATTATCCTCACTTTGTATCGTTGAGCCATGCAGACACAAGATCGTGTGTTATACTTTGGGTCTGTGCTGAATTAGCTGCCCTCAAACAGGAACAGCAGAAAGGGTGCTGCAATCGTCCTGGCACAGAGAGGGGGAAATCTGCCAGCCTTTCTGATTCCTGTCCAGCAATCCCAGCAGGAATCACGCGTGTCTATGTGTGTATGGTTATTGGGTGCCTGACTGTGATACCTCTCACAAGGCGAATGTCAACATTCACCAACTAGGCTCGTAAATAGAGAAAGACCACTTGGGTATGTCCTAGAAAACTATATCACCCGTAGAACAATATCCCAGTACAAGTGAGCACATTCAGGAGTAAACGGGTGGTGGGTGGTGGAATTGGCAAAATAATCCACACTGCTGTACTACAACAACAACTTGCATCTATGTAGTTCCCTTCACGCTGGAGGGCATCTCGGAGCGCTTGTGTAGGACTAATGGTAACAATTTAACAGGGTTTTGTTGTTTCAAGTAATAAAATGAATCCTCCTGTATTTTTTTAGGACTCACCGAGCAACAAGTTACTTTATGCACGAGAGATTTCAACGTACAAGAAAATGGTAGATGAGTAAGTGGAAATAAATCTGATGCATCTATCCCAACGGGCTTGAACCAATTAGACTAGCTTTAATGTTCAGTGGGTTAGTACATTCAACTCCAGGGCCCATTGGACTTTCAACTAAAAGACTGCAGTCCTAGACCTGTCTCACTTGATCTGCCAGGTCTATTTTTCCTTGAAGACGACTGCTGAATTCGCCATAGCCATCTACAGTAGTCAGGGAGCTTCCTGGAGGATTCCCGCAGTCTCTCTTGGATGCTAATCTGAAAACCCAACTTGGAAGAGAAAATAGAGGAGGGAGAAAGAATAGGTTGAATGAACAAAGCTGTATATTAATCCATATCAAAAGCTCCCTCCAATGACTCAGTAACTACCTGAGCCATACAGAATAAGATGTCTCCAGATTCGATTCCCAGTTAGTGCTGAGTTAGTTAATCTCACCTAGGGTGGCAATAGGGCACTGAAATAGGTCTCAGTTGTTAGGGAAGGAAGTGAGGATCATCTTGAAACTCAAGGAGTTGTTGAGGATAGTTTGTATATAGGAAAGGATCTTATAGTTCAATAGCCTATATTTTCCCAGTAATATTGGATCTAACTTGCAGTGGTTCATTAAGAAATAGGCAGATGTGGAATTTCTCAAATGATGAATGTTCTTCAGCATTTTCGGTTTTTGAGAAAGTTGATAATTACACATTTCTTATGATGGAAATACCGCAGATTAGGAACGTATTACCTCAGTCAGCCTGGGTTGGTTATTCACCAATAGAATTTTACTGCTCTGTCTGGGCTACTCAAAGTGCAGAGAACATTAACAGATTAACAGAACAATGATGTGGATTTTGCCTGAAGCCTGTGTGTTAAATTGTTCTGAGAGATTTCATCTCTGTTTGTTTTAACAGCTATTACAAGGGTATTCGACAGATGGTACAGGTCAGTGACCAGGATATGAACACACACCTAGCGGAGGTCTCGAGGGTGAGTTGAATCCATTTACTCCCTGATGTTCTGTCTTGTCTTGAATTTGGGTTAAGTGGTGTTATCCCGGGCTAGTTAGATTGTAAGATATTGCACTTAAACTAAAGAAGCACTAAAAACGTACCTTTATTTAAAGATAGGTCTAATCTCCATCATATAAAGTTTGGAGCCAAGTTACTGTTCTGTATTTGCGTTACTCTGTGCAGTGCTTTCACACACTAAAGTGTTGTGTTTTTTTACCTTTGTAAATGAGCAAAGACTGTGATTTTACTTTAGTGCCACAGTCCACTAGTTTAATTTAAGAAAGAATCTACCTTTCTAACGGTTGTGTGTTCTGTTCCAGGCTCACACAGACAAACTGAACACAGTAGTGGCATTGCATCAGTTATACCAGTACACAAACAAATACTACGATGCGGTGAGTTCTTTTGTATCCCTTTCAGCTTTTGACGATACAGTTGGTCTTCCAGTCTGGTTTAGTCGACAGCTCTCTCGCTTCTGGCTCAGAAACTTAAGGGTTCAAAGGCCTACAGCGAGCTTGAACCTTGCACTGGAGAGTCATGTCATGGCTAACTCCAGCACAGGACTGGAAGAGGGTTGTGTATCATCATTCATGTCTTTCGGTTGAGACATGAAACTGAGGTCCCATCCAGATGAACAACAACAAGATTACATTTGTAAAGCGCCTTTCACGTCGGGAGGACGTCCCAAGGCGCTGGACAGTGTACAGCATTTCAGACCCGAGCTGGGGTCAGGGGGTGAGAAGGGAGAGGAGGGGAAGGGGGGGGTGGCCGATGGCATGGTCGAAGAGGAGGGTTTTGAGGCGGGATTTGAAGGAGGCTAAGGAGGGGGCGAAGCGGATTGACTGGGGGATGGAATTCCAGGGGTTGGGGGCAGAGTGGCTGAAGGCTCTCCCTCCAATGGTGGATTTCAACAATGGATCTCACCGCACTATTCGAAGAGTTCTGACCATTGATCCTCCAGATTTAAGTTGGTCATTCACCTCATGGCTGCTTTGTGGCTCAAATGGCCAGCTACAAAGTCAGTCACAGCACTTGAACGTAATCAACTGTGAAGCACCGAGGCCATTCAGCCCCTCAAGCCTGTTCCGCCATTCTATTAGATCATGGCTGACCTGCACCTCAACTCCATTTACCCGCCTTTGCCCCGTATCCCTTGATACCTTTACCTAACAAAAATCTGATCAACCTCGGTCTTGAAAATTTCAGTTGAGCAAGTGTTTAACGTGCCGCGTCACACAAAGCACCGATAATAAAAATAGTAATAATCCTTGCATTTGATAAGAGCACCTTAACATGTCGTTGAGACGTCTCAAAGCTCTTCACAGAACATACCGTCTAGTGAATTTGACTGCATATTTCGCGGGCAAAATATCTAAATATGAATCCCAAGACTTTCTCAGCTCTGTTAACACCACAATATTTATTTCCTTTGGCTCCACAGATAATAAACGCATTAGAAGAGGACCAGGTTTCACAGAAGATGCAACTTTCCTTCCGCCTGCAACAGATAGCGGCCGCTCTTGAGAATAAAGTGACGGACCTTTGACCCTTACACAGTCGCGCTCTTGTAATGGAAGCTCAGATGTTAAATTTTATTCCCTAGAAGAGAAAATAGTATTATTATCATTTTTATTATACTGATCGCTTCTGCAGCCCTTCATGATTTCAGCTTTTGAATTCATTTGTTTTTTTTGTAAATTGACTAATATTCTATAATGTATTATAAACTTGGTCGATAAAAATCTTTGGACAGTCCCATCGAGTTTTTTTTAAAAAAATGTAAACAAAGCGAGGAGCTGAAAGGAGACAGTCTGTGCTTTTAAATTTTATATTCAAAGAATATAAGTTATTCTTGGGGGAGGGGGGATGAGGAAAAACTTTTACAATTTGACCTGCAAATGTACTAAAGTCACTTGTTTTAGTGGATAGGATTTTTGTACAGTTTAGTTTATATTGTCTTCTAATCCAGTCATTGTTAATAGCCTGATTTTTCTGAAAGAAAACTCGTTAACAGCAAACACTACTGCCATTTATATTCTCTTTGCACTCTGATAAAATGTGTAGAAAATTGTTATCCGATGGAAAATGGCAGATACTTGGTACTAAACTGGATGTCTTTGCTCAAAATCGATAGATAAAATAAGGTACACACTTTGGAAAACTCGTGACAGCGATTTGATTGCAGTCGAGGGGAGTGGGGGAAACTCGTTCCTCAATTTAATGTAATACAGACTGAGTAGAGAATGCCTGTAAATTTGTGTTCAAACTACATTTTAGAGGATTTTTTACAAGCGTAGATAGCAACTACTGAAATGTCTTGATATTTTTGATATAATTTGGGAGATGGTTATGGCAAAATAAATTCAGCTTTTTATTTATTCTTTTCTTGTGAATTAAAGTGTAATTCCTTTACAAAAAGAGACCCTTCTCCAACAATAGTGGTGTGATGACTTTATATTGCCCGGAATTTATATTAGCCGTCAAATGGGCTCCAGTCCCAGTCTAGACTTGCATCTACTTGATATAAAGTTTGAAATTCCTATTTTTATTTGCACAAAGCAGACATCAGATGTGTATTAGCTTTCACGGACATCTAATGCCTATTTTGATATCACTCCAAGGTATCACTACTTATGGTGCATGACTGACAAGAGTTTCACACTTACCTTTTATAATTGTGGTAAAGTAAGGTAAACAGGATCTCCTTGGAGCTGATGGCTCCAGAGTCATGTCAGAATCAAGCCAACCCTTTCAAGTGTCCTCGAGAGTCTGATTTCTGAGCCAGGCGTATCCACTGTCCTCCAAGGGCAATGCTAATGACAGACCTGCCAGACTGACCCGTCGGTAGGACTTTGAAGGACAAATCAGTCACTGGGAGAAGGTATTCTTCCCATTCAACTCCAATTAACTCTGCCACCAAAGCCCTAATAGGGAGGGTGGTCCTGGCTGGACAAGTAATGGGAAAGATTGCCAGGCAATGCTTCCAATGGAAAGCTATGCGTTTTTAGCTGGATAAGCTGCGGCAATTACCCCCAACACACACACTGGGGTTCCCCAAGCTTTGTCTCGCACCGTCCTTCATCTAAAACTTTTAAGAAAGTGGGGGTGAATCCCTCTGGGGCAAGAGAGTGTGCGCATTCCATTGCAGAACAGAATTTTCCATGTGTAAGTGGCGTACTCATGTGGAACACTGTCCGATTTTGATACACTTAAGCCTGGTGATGGGTTTCCACATGTGTCAGCACTCGCCGGATCAAAAAGGGAAAGATCTGGCTTCAAAGAACTTCTCTGCGTGTATTTTCTAAAACAAATTTTTATCCAATTTTAAACGGTTCGACACTGAGGGAGCGCTGCATTTGCTAAGGTTTCGCCCTTTAGCCGTGTGCATGTTCTGATGGGTTAGGTCACGGAGAAATAATAATAATAATCCTTGCATTTGATATAGCACCTTATCACGTCATTGAGATTTGAGGCGAAACACACCCACAAAATACATAGTATAACGTCCAATGCTTCTCAAAGACTGAACATGGGAGGAGGGTGTGGGTGACCATAGCGCAGTCGAAGAGGTAGGTTTTTAGAGGGGATTAAAAGACTGACAGCGGGAGTGAGAGGGAGGGCTAAAAGGAGGATTTCCAGAGATTGGGTCCATGGTTGCTGAAGACTGGGCTACTGATAGTGGTGTGGAGGAGATGGTGGAATGAACAGCAGTCCCGAGTTAGCCAAGCCGAAGAGGCGTGAGGAACAGAAGACTGAGGTAGGAGGAAGATCACAGAGACGGGAAGGTGCTGGACGTGAAGAGATTGGTAGGTGAGAGTGAGAACCACCAGACATTTAGTTGGGCTATGATACAAAATTCCACCAACCACCTCCTCACCCACACCAAGTGCCGTATGCCCATCACTCCAGTCCTCGCCAGGCTCCATTGGCTGCATTTTCCCCACAAAATATACAGTCAATTCACTTTACAGTATAATCTGCGCAACTGTAATGTGGTATAATCATAGCAGTGTCATCTGCATTACTACACTTTATAGCATAAAGCTGAATCTCTAACCATCTCTTACTGTTACTTCCTCTTTCAGCTTCAGGACATTACAGTACAAACTTAACTTTATTAAGGGAAAGTTTAAAAATAAGTATTGAAAGTATTTAGCCTTCCAGTATTAACTTTATGTATCGATTTTTTTGTTTGTCCCTATAAATCTGCATTACGCCACTGTCTGTTATCACTCTTTCACATAAGCTAAACTGCTTCATTTCACACAAGCTTATAACAAAATTACTTAAAGTCAATAAGAGTTATGACTGCAGTCTACAATAAAGAGTGCAACATATTCTCTGGAACCACAGATAATGGGCTTTGGAATTGAATAATTCTTGTTTTATTTATTCCTGCCATGCATTTGGAATATTATGTGCAGATCTGGTCACTACAAGAATGATATTGTGGCAATGTGGAGAGTGTAGAATAGGTTTATTAGGAGTAAGCAGGGATATCAGGAAAGACTGGACAAATTAAAGCCATCAGACGATTGAGAAGGGATCTGATGAAATGTTTATAATTATAAACAGGTTCAATAAGGTGGACATAAATAGGTTTTTTTTCCACTTGTTGGTGAGTCCATAGCATCCGGGGGGGGGGGGGGGGGGGGGAATAAATATAAGATAAGTCACTAATATCTAAAAGCAGTAAGTAGGAACCAGGTTGTTTGTGGGACACTGCTGTAAGATGAAACCAGATCCAGAAAATAGAATGGTGAGTTGCCTACTGGGTGCACATGTTGAGGATCTGACAACCCGCGTTGACCATATGCTACAGGAAGCAGATGAGGAATCAACTGTAATTGTCCATGTGAGAAGAAATAACATAGATAGAGGTAGACCAGAGGTCCTTCATGCTAAATTTAGAGCATAAGGAAGGAAGCTAAAGGGAAAGACTTCAAGCGTAGTATTTTCCGAAATACTACTCATACCACATGCTGGTGAGGAAAGACAGAGGGTAATTAGGCAGACCAATGCATGGCTAAGGCATTGGTGTAGGGAGTCAGGCTTTCATTTCCTCAAACAATGGGGCACCTTTTGGAATAGGGAGCATCTATACAGATGGGCTCCACCTAAACAAAAGCAGGGTGGAGGTGTTGGCAGGCAGGATAGATAGTTTAGTTAGGGAGTGTTTAGGCACAGGGGTGATTGCGGTCGGTGTAAGAGAGCACCCGAACCGATTAGGGAAAACCTTAAGGCATACCAGTGTAACAGGTCTAACTCCAAAGGTTGGTGAAAAAGAAACAGAAAATGTTTATAAAGTAAATGGGAAAGGCAAAAAAAAACTAAGCTGTACTGCCATTAATTAATTAATCACAGAGACGTGGTGGGATGAATCCAATCAATGGGATACACACCTGGAAGGTTATAAACTGTTTAGGAGGGACCATACTGGGAGAAGAGGAGGTGGTGTGGCACTATATATAATACCATTATTGAGACACAAGTGAGAGGGGATATAAAAAAAGGAAAGGGTAGATACAGAATCACTTTGGGTAGAATTAAAAGATGGTAACAGAGGTAAGCTATTACTAGGGGTCCTGCTGTAGAAGTCTTTCACGTGCGCTTGAGAAGTCTAGTCGAAGTGAGCCTTTGGCAGGCTTAAATATAGCAATGGGAGTGGAAGACCTATGGAGTTCCTTCAAGGAGCTGATTATGAAGGCAATGGAACAATTTGTACCCATGCAAAGTACAGGTACCAAGCTCAAAGACACTCCTGGCTAATTGGATGGGGCTACAAAGCAAATCAAAGCAAATCAAATTGTGGAGTCCTGTAGATCAGTGGTTAGAGCACTCGCTTTCCAAGTGAGAGACCTGAGTTCAATTCCAGGCAGAGGGCGAAACCTTGGGCAAGTTTCCTTACTCCACACAGAGCCTAATAATAATCCCTCCAAAACAAAAACAATAATAAATTGGTCATTTTCAATCTACGACTGTTTGTGGGACATTGCTGTGCGCAATTGGCTGCCGCGTTTGCCCACAAATATACTGTCAATTCACTTTACAGTGTGTTCTGTGAAGCGCTTTGGGACGTCTTCCCGACGTGAAAAGCACTATATCAAATGCAAGGATTATTATTATTATTATTATAAAGAGTGGGGAAAAAAATATTTAAGGTCATAAAGGAAATGGCATGGAAATAAATCGAATTCAATACCAGAAAGCATGTCAGGACTGCAAAAAAGGCATCAGAATGGTAAAGAAAAGCTTTGAATCGATCACGGCAAGAGATGTGAAGGATAATAACAAAAAGGGTGTTTAGTTACATTAAGAGTAGAAGAAAAAACGAGCAATGGAATGGAGTCACTTAAGGTGGGTTCAGGAGAGAATGTGGCAAATAATGCTGCACAGGCTGCAATAGTGCTAAATAAGTTTTTTCCATCAGTCTTTAACAAGGAGGAGACAGGTAACCTATCTGATCTGGAAAGAGAACCTAGCGACGTCGCAGAGAAAAATTGTGACACTATTCATATCACTACCCGCATGGTTGTCAAACAGCTGTGTAAACTTAAGGTAATTAAATCCCAGAGGTCGGATAAATGACATCCGAAGATCCTCAAGGAACTAAGGGAGGAAGTCGCAGAAACCCTTCCACAAATCTTTCAAAAATCACAGAGTACTGGAGAGGTGCCGGGGGACTGGAGAAATTCAGATGTTACCCCTATTTTTAAGAAAGGTAACAAAAGTGACGCAGGAAACTACAGACCAGTAACTTTGCCGTCCATTGTGGGTAAAATTATGGAGACGCTTATTAAGGATAAAATCATGGCGATCTGGACAGAAGGAGGGAAGATCCTCACAATCTAATTTACTGGGGTTTTTTGACGGTGTGACAAGGGAGCTTGATAAGGGTAATGCTGCGGATGTTGTATATCTGGATTTCAGTAAGGCCTTTGATACAGTTCCTCTTGAGAGGCTGATACTATAATAATAATAATAATAACAATCCTTGCATTTGATATAGCGCTTTTCACGTCGGGAGGACGTCCCAAAGCGCTTCACAGAACACACTGTAAAGTGAATTGACTGTATATTTGTGGGCGAACGCGGCAGCCAATTGCGCACAGTAATGTCCCACAAACAGTCGTAGATTGAAAATGACCAATTTATTATTGTTTTTGGTTTTGGAGGATTATTAGGCTCTGTGTGGAGTAAGGAAACTTGCCCAAGGTTTCGCCCTCTGCCTGGAATTGAACTCAGGTCTCTCGCTTGTAAAGCGAGTGATCTAACCACTGAGCTACAGGACTCCACGATAAGACGTAGGAGTAGACGTAGGCCATTCGGCCCCTCGAGCCTGCCCCGCTATTTAATAAGATCATGGCTGATCTTCTAACTTAAT